CGAACCTTTTGAAAGCTTTACTTTTAAGTACACAGAAGCAGCAGATGGCGATTATATGACGCAACGAAACGATCATGTTAATAATGGTAATTACCAGTGTGATTAATTTTGTACTAAATTACCCGAAACTAATGATGCTGATGCTGCACATGACTACTCCTATATTCACCCGTAGCCTGTTACCCCGGGTGCTCAAGACATCTCGCCTGCACATGGCAGATGTGACAGGCAGGTAAGAAGGTACAAGGTTTTCTGTACAAAAGGTATTGATTGTTACGATGGAATATATTTTATTATCACATGTATGCAGATTAATCAATGATTGCACGTTTCTCATTGTGTATATTTTGAAGGCTATGAAGTAAGTGTCCGTTAGTATTAAGGTTTCTCAATTATTACCGTCTCTACCGTCGGTTGTTACCAAGACGTCTCAAATATTACGATGACGTTTCAGTTGTTACCAAGACGTCTCAAATATTACGATGACGTTTCAGTTGTTACCAAGACGTCTCAAATATAACGATGGCGTTTCAGTTATTACCAAGGCGTTTCAGCTATTACCAATTCGTCTCAGTTATTACCAAGACGTCTCAATTAATACTAAGCGTCTCAATTATTACCGATGCGTGTCAATTTTTACCAAGACGTGGCAATTATTACCAAGCGTCTCAATTTTTACCGAGGCTTCTTAATTATAACCAAGACGTGTCAGTTATTACCAAGATTTTTCAGTTATTACCAAGGCTATTAAGTTATTACCAATTCGTCTCAGTTATTACCAATTCGTCTCAATTATTACCAAGGCGTCTCAATTATTACCAAGGCGTCTCAGTTATTACCAAGACCTCTCAATTATTACAAAGCGTCTCAATTATTACCAAGGCGTCTCAGTTATTACCAAGCATCTTAGTTATTACCAATTCGTCTGATTTAATACCTCCCAATTATTACCAAGCGTCTCAATTATTACCAAAGCGTCTCGGTTATAACGAAGGCGTCTCGGTTATTACCCATGCGTGTTAGTCATTACCACTGCGTTTTAAATAGTGGTTAATATAATTAGTATACACACTTTGAACATCACTATTCGTGTGACGAACAGCACTATGCACAGGACCCAAAACATTCACATGTCCAAAATGACACACATACACACCTTGCAAAATACACACGACCAATAGTATTATACACCAGACTAAAAACATTATAAACACGACCAATAATATAATACATACGACCAACAGCACACGATACACACGACCAATATTCTAATACACACGACCAACAGCATTATACACACGACCACACCACCTCGTATTTAAATAAGCCATAAGTCTCCAGTAGATAAACCAATGATGGTATTTGTTCATGTACAAAGGAAACCGCTGTGGTGAAGGTACGGCCAACCCGGTGTAAACTGCGAGAGCGGTTTCAGGCCTGCTATAGTGACTTGTCAATGTGGTTCCCCGAGAACCTTCACGCCTTGGTAAACATGTTGGCGGCCGTCGCTTTCAACACACGACCCTACAGTACACGTGGGACATAAGGGTAGATGCCATTGCTGTGGTAAACATGTTGGCGGCCGTCGCTTTCATTACACGACCCTACAGTACACGTGGGACATAAGGGTAGATGCTATTGCTGTGGTAAACATGTTGGCAGCTGTCGCTTTCATTACACGACCCTACAGTACACGTGGGACATAAGGGTAGATGCTATTGTTGGGTAAACATGTTGGCAGCTGTCGCTTTCAACACACGACCCTACAGTACACGTTGGACATAAGGGTAGATGCTATTGCTGTGGTAAACATGTTGGCGGTTGTCGCTTACAACACACGACCCTACAGTACACGTGGGACATAAGGGTAGATGCTATTGCTGTGGTAAACATGTTGGCGGCTGTCGCTTACATTACACGACCCTACAGTACACGTGGGACATAAGGGTAGATGCTATTGCTGTGGTAAACATGTTGGCGGTTGTAGCTTTGAACACACGACCCTACAGTACACGTGGGACATAAGGGTAGATGCTATTGCTGTAGTAAACATGTTGGCGGCAGTCGCTTACAACACACGACCCTACAGTACACGTGGGACATAAGGGTAGATGCTATTGCTGTGGTACAAGGAAGAATGTAGGTTATTGCTGTGGAGCACATGAATCTGTATGTTATTGCTGTGGTGCACATGACTTTGTAAGTTATTGTTGTGGACCACAGGGTCTATATGCTGATGCACAGGGAACTATGGACTAGGGGCGTGGTACACACGGGACTATGGACTAGGGGCGTGGTACACAGGGGACTATAGACTAGGGATGTGGTACACAGGTGACTATGGACTAGGGGCGTGGTACACGGGACTATGGACAAGGGATGTGGTACACAGGGGACTATAGACTAGGGATGTGGTACACAGGGGACTATGGACTAGGGGCGTGGTACACGGGACTATGGACAAGGGATGTGGTACACAGGGGACTATAGGTTAGGGATGTGGTACACAGGGGACTATAGACTAGGGATGTGGTACACAGGGGACTATAGACTAGCGATGTGGTACACAGGGGACTATAGACTAGGGATGTGGTACACAGGGGACTATAGACTAGGGATGTGGTACACAGGGGACTATAGACTAGGGATGTGGTACACAGGGGACTATAGACTAGGGATGTGGTACACAGGGGACTATAGACTAGGGATGTGGTACAAAGGGGACTATAGACTAGCGATGTGGTACACAGGGGACTATAGACTAGGGATGTGGTACACAGGGGACTATAGACTAGGGATTTGGTACACAGGGGACTATAGACTAGGGATGTGGTACACGGGACTATGGACAAGGGATGTGGTACACAGGGGACTATAGGTTAGGGATGTGGTACACAGGGGACTATAGACTAGCGATGTGGTACACATGGGACTATAGACTAGCGATGTGGTACACAGGGGACTATAGACTAGCGATTTGGTACGCAAGGGACTATAGACTAGGGATGTGGTACACAGGGGACTATAGACTAGCGATGTGGTACACAGGGGACTATAGACTAGCGATGTGGTACACAGGGGACTATAGACTAGCGATTTGGTACGCAAGGGACTATAGACTAGCGATGTGGTACACAGGGGACTATAGACTAGGGATGTGGTACACAGGGGACTATAGACTAGGGATGTGGTACACAGGGGACTATAGACTAGGGATGTGGTACACAGGGGACTATAGACTAGGGATGTGGTACACAGGGGACTATAGACTAGCGATGTGGTACACAGGGGACTACAGGTTAGGGATGTGGTACACAGGGGACTATAGACTAGCGATGTGGTACACAGGGGACTACAGGTTAGGGATGTGGTACACATAGGTAGGTTTGCTATTGCTGTGGCACACATAGGTATGTATGCTAGGGCTGTGGTACAGCTGCGTATGTTAGGTACTGCTGTGGTAAATCTTCACGCCTCGATCAAATAGGTCAGCCCTATACAAGACATCCTCTCTATTGGGGATACATAACTGGCAATTTCTTTTTCAGAGTGCGAATAATACCATTGAATCTAGGGCTGCCACACCTTGCTTGAAGCCTCTTAACTGAAAACGCTTTCATTCTTTTTAGTTCTTTGAAATACCTTGCTACAATAACACGGTTGTGAATTTCAACAGTAAATAGAGTACCCCTTCGCCTCGCTATACCGGTTCTTGGATGAACAACTTTCAACATAAAACATTGAAAGACCATCCAGAAATGAAAGCTAAGGCAATGTGAATTTATGTTGATGCAACGTTTTAACTGCCACAGTAACCATAACACTACAGGAATCTGCTTTGTCTGACAAGGTAGTTTTTAAGTATTAGTATCTAAACACCATTTAATACGTCCAAAGTAGATCATTCCTACAATACAAGAAACAAAAAGGCTTTGTGCGTCAAATGTATGTACATTCAGGCGTGAGGCGGTAATTGAGGCAGTGATTAAAAGACAGCATTCCAAATTGGTGACACATTCTAAGGCTGTGACATACATATGTGTTTGTATGTGTGTGTGTGTGTGTGTGTGTGTGTGTGTGTGTGTGAGAGAGAGAGAAAGAGAGAGAGAGAGAGAGAGGGAGAGAGAGAGAGAGAGAGAGAGAGAGAGAGAGAGAGAGAGAGAGAGAGAGAGAGAGAGAGAGAGAGAGGATGGCGACCTGTAAATAATAGAGTTTGAACTAGACTATCCGGTGATTGATATTATGAGCAACGTCACCGGACCACCTCATCCATTATATCCACTATCCGCCTTTTACGACCAGTATAGGCTGTGGAGACCAATAGCAGCCCGGAACCCACGGGTTCGTGACTATGAGGGGTGATGAGTGAGTGAGAGAATGAGTGAGTATGGCTTTTAGCAATATTCCAGCAATATCACGGCCTGGGACACAAGCCCATTGTACCCACACATTGTACCCATGTCGGGAATCGAACCCAGGTCTTCGGCGTGACGAGCAAAAGCTTTAACAACTAGGCTACCCACCAACGCTCCGTGAGGGTTGATGAGGTAGCCAGAAGATAACATACTTATTATGAAGATGAGTGAGTGAGTTAAAATTTAACGTCTCATCGGGCAGCCAGACGAAACGGCATTACAGAAATAATAAATATTTACCCTGAATAATGCATTAAATATTTCAAAACTTTATACAACAATGCCCTCCCAAGTCAAACATCCAGTACGTCCAGGTAATAGCTACAGAACTTGGTTCATGCATCGTTCAGATGGAGATTTTAGTATGCATGGTTATGCTTCAAAAGCAGGGCTAGCTCTGCGGTATAGCCAATAACGACAAGTGTAGTGATGATATATGTGTATTACATGTACACTACGTGTTATCCTAGGCTGCATGACTGGTAGTTGTCTGACAGCGAAACCCTGACACGCCTTTAAGATAACAGCATTACGCCAGCGCCTTTCATTGAACTGGTCTATAACAATCTCACTCATGCGTGGCTCTGTATTTCAGAATGACATCTATAATACTGAAACAGGACTTTTAACTGGAACTAATATTTTGCTATTTATACATTTGCAAGGCTTCAAGGCAATATATGTACGAGCTCTGCCGATGTTGACGCGCCTGCTGCAGTACAGCGTTAAGGGTGTTTGGGTGAAGCGGACGTCTACCGCGAGGGGCTCGTCAACGTAGCAGGGTGTAGTTTCAAGGAAACAGACCAGCGTGGAGACGAGGACTTGACACATAAAGGACGTGCACAACAAGATTCTGAGATAGAGAGGAGGGTTTGTTTGTCTGGAGGCCGAGCTTACTATTCACGCCGTGTAGGAGGAGACTAAGGGCAGAGAGGAAACAGACCGTCCATCATGTTTGGTCAAAGTAGAAAAAACAGGTGGCCAAATTTCGACGATCGTCACAGCGACGGAGACAGGGGTAAGTTATTCTTAGGAGTGGGATTGCCGGTTTGAGCGGGTGCCGGGATGAGCCGATCAGCTGTGTACGAAGCGATACCTTCATTGGTGCGATAGGTCACGTACCCATAATCAATAGAAATATTATTATGTTCAATTTTACATATGTAATTCAAACATGCATTGTCAATTTGTGATATAATATTGCATTATAGTTTTATATTGTGTCATGTTGTGTTTAGGTGTAGTGTATGTTAAAGTAGTGTGATGTTTAAATGCGATGAGACGCACTGTTGTTTTGAGATGTGGTGATGAGGTGAAATTGGGCTTAACATTGATGTTCAGATTATTACACTAATGTTGCGATGTGCATGCGTGAGTACGTGCATGTTTGTGTGTGTGCATGTGTGTGCGTGTGTATGTGTGTGCGTGCGTGCGTGCGTGCGTGCGTACGTGCGTGCGTGCGTGTGTGTGCGTGCGTGCGTGTGTTGGGGTATTGTATGATGTTGTGTTGGTTCATAGTATGACATTGCGTTGGGGTATGGTATTATATTGTATTGGCCAATAGTAGGTCATTGTGCTGGGGTATGGTATGATGTTGTGTTAGCCCAGAGTATGGCATTGTTTTGGGGTATGGTATGATGTTTTGTGGCCAATACTATGACATTGTGTTGGGGTATGGTATGACGTTGTGTTGTCCCAGAGTATGACATTGTGTTAGGTAATGATATAATGTTATGTTGCCAATAGTATGGCATTGTGTTGAGGTATGGTATGATGTTGTATTGGCCAATTGTATGACATTGTGCTGGGGTATGGTATGATGTGTTGGGGTATGGTATGATGTTGTGTTGGCCAATAATATGATATTGTGTTAGGGTATAGTATGATGTTGTGTTGGCAAACAGTATGATGTTGTGTTGGTTCATAGTATGACATTGTGTTAGGGTATAGTATGATGCTGTGTTGCCTCAGAATATGTCACTGTGTTGGGATATGTTATGATGTTGTGTTGGGGTATAGGATGATGTTGTATTATCCATTAGTATGACATTGTGTTGGGATATAGAATGCTGCTGTGTAGTATAGTATGCTGCTGTGGCCAGTAGTATGGCGTCCCGTTAGGGGAGGGTATGATGTTGTGTTGGCCAATAGTACGGCATTGTGTTTGGGTATGGTATGATGTTGTGTTAGCCAATAGTATGACATTGTGTTGGGGTTTGGTATGATGTTGTTGGGGTATTGTATGATGTTGTGATGGTCAATAGTATGACATTGTGTCGGGGTATGTTATGATGTTGTGTTGGCCAATAGTATGACATTGTGTTGGGGTATTGTATGATGTTTCGTCGGGGTATGGTATGATATTGCGCTGGTCAATAGTATGACATTGTGTTGGGGTATTGTATGATGTTTCGTCGGGGTATGGTATGATGTTGTGTTGGCCCAGAGTATGGCATTGTGTTTGGGTATGGTATGATGTTGTGTTGGCCAATAGTATGACATTGTGTTGTGGTATTGTATGATGTTTTGTCGGGGTATGGTATGATATTGCGCTGGTCAATAGTATGACATTGTGTTGGTTTATAGTATGATATTGTGCTGGCCAATAGTATGATATTGTGTTGGGGTATAGTATGGTGTTATGTAATGCCCTTGTGTTCTTTTGGGGTGTATTTCAACCTTTTAACGTCCTTGTCGATGGTATGTAGGGAGGATACAATTGAGCTTTATAAACTCGGAGAGGTGGATGCCCAAACGTACCCAACCGTCCCCCACTCGGGAGTAATGGAGACTATCAATACTCAATGCAAGCCATCCCCATGGGAGAACTAAACGATACAAGAGTGGAGAAAGAACATAACCTCAACTGTGACGCCCCGGTTCCCTTGCGACATCTGCACGGGATGCTGTCTCCTTGCTTTTGAACATATATTTTATTCACTGTGTGTTTAATGCCTCACTACATTTGACGTTAACAATTTAATAAACCGCTCAAACATAACATGGTCCGATGGTAGGTGTGGCGGATGCTTCTTTATAATGGCGGTAATACCTACCCGTTACCCCATACCCAGCTCCAGGTGGTGGGTGGGTTAGGGGTCGGGTGGGTGTCTGTGTTTGGGGATGAGAGGTGCACCCCCCTTTGTTGACTAAATGTAAACAATGCTTTTAGTTGATACGTTTTTTCTATAACCCTTTGCATTCACCCAACATGTTGTATATTACGTGCACCAATCATTTTCCGAATGGCTGAATTCGGGCTTTGCTGTACTGTATATATATATATATGACTTGATTACCTCGTAACCTTGACATGGAAGACAGAAGCATCTCAAGTTGTACCTCATGGTTGTATTATATATTACATAATGACCTGCTTCTGCAGACCTTGGATGATATATCGCCTTGCGGTCCCAGTCCAGCGGTTCCAGTCTCACATAGGAATAACTTACTCCTTCAGTAATAGTGCTGTGGTATTTCTAATTGAAACTCATCGATTCCCTGTGAGGATATCGACTACCGGGCAAAAGAAAGTACTCACCAGTGTTTGATTGTGGCTAAAATAAAACAAACGAGAAATGGTTATTCGATCGTGATTTATTTGATACGAGTATCATTGTTGTGTTTATGGTTGGAGTGTTTTGACGTCTGTTTTCAACTTTGTAACGTTTTGAGCATATTTGTAATTGTTTGGTCCAATCCAAATTTCAGTTGTATACTCTTTTATTCCCTGCAGTTTATATCAATCTGAGTGACCAAAGATTTCTTCTTATTCTCTTTAACTTCCCTTTCGTCAACTTACACAGAAATGCCTCTTGTCGATATGGCTTCCTCACTCGATCCTTTACAATATTTAACGTTTATATATATCTAATTTTGTTCTTAAGAACGATGAATAAGTTTTTAGGCCCCTTATATAGCGTGGGATGTGTCTTGCACGACCGTTCTCACACAATCACCAGCATCTCTCCAACATAGGTGGTATTTACAGCAATTAACGTCTTCGACTGTGTTCATACACGTACAACGCAGGTCACCACACAGTCAAAAGGTGTATGTAGTTTTACGCCGCCACTAGATTCCTAAAATGCCTATTGATAGATTACAAAGAAAATGTTATAATATGACGTTATTGTATGAAAAACATGGAGTTCGCAATTGGGTATACGAATATGTAAAGTCGTTATTAAATGAATGCGGCTATGGGTATGTTTGGCATAATAAATGTGTACCTGAGAATCCAGATATAAATATTAAAAGATTTAGATAAGTTTAACACATTTAGATGCAGCTCTCATAGATTTAGGGTCGATGTAGGCAGACATAGAAACAGAGCCAGAGAATTGAGAAGATGTGAGCAATACGGTTTAAATGTGATTAAAGATGAGTTTCATTTTCTGTTAGTCTGTCCAAAATACAACCTAAGAAGTAAATAGATTGATCTGCCTTTTTATGTACATCCCTCTCCACAAACATTTATATCGATCATGTCAACAACTGATAAAGATACTCTAGAAAAGCTAGCACTGTTCATTTATCATGCTATGTTAATTAGACTATGACCCGTTAAACATATCTGCAACCACTCCCGAAAACAGAATTGTACTATGGGCCTTTCATTATGGTATAAAACTTTTCCTTAACCTTAATATGTCCATGAAGGTACAGACAGGTTTTAGGTCTGGGCTGGAGGATGTGTGCGAATCTTGGTGTTGCCCCAGCGCAGAAGATTCAGTCATATGTATGCATTACTTACATTCAAAGTTTGACTTCAATAATCTTTGTGTTAAGGGGTCGGGCGTTTACGTGGATTTACGCAAAATATGCACGCCAGTTTTGACGTTTTTAACTCCACGAAAGCAAAAATACATGTCGAGGTCAATTCTTAAATAATAAATTCTTGTACGTCAACAGTACTAACTTCACAGGCTGCTTATCTATTATTATCACACCAATACATCAGTGAAACTATTAAGGGCATTAATGTGCAACATAAGTAGTACGGGTGTGGGCGTGGCCTAATTATTTTTCGGTTTGTGGCAACAAAAACGCAAACAGAATTGCTTGGTTACAAAGGAAATCTGACAGCGGGGAATTATATACATGTATGTTCACATATTGTCAATCTCACAATCTGTGTTGCTTTGTTAGAAAGTACTTTAAGACATAATCAAATGGACAGTGTATATCTTCATGTGAGAAAAGGGAAAATTCGGAGCCTCTTTTGTCAGGACGCTTCAATTAGTGATTGATTGATGATGGTAAATAACGCCGTACTGGTATTGCAGTTATATCTAGAAGTGAATGGTGGCTGGGTTTATTGCAGTGCAGGTATTTCAGTTATATCATGGCATTCCTAGGAATGAATGGTGGCTGGGTTTATTGCAGTGCTGGTATTTCAGTTATATCACCGCATTCCTAGGAATGAATGGTGGCTGGGTTTATTGCAGTTCTGGTATTTCAGTTATATCATGGCATTCCTAGGAATGAATGGTGGCTGGGTTTATTGCAGTTCTGGTATTTCAGTTATATCATGGCATTCCTAGGAATGAATGGTGGCTGGGTTTATTGCAGTGCTGGTATTTCAGTTATATCTAGGAGTGAATGGTGGTTGGGTTTATTGCAGTGCTGGTATTTCAGTTCTATCTAGGAGTGAATGGTGACTGGGTTTATTGCAGTGCTGGTATTTCAGTTATATGTATGAGTGAATGGTGGTTGGGTTTATTGCAGTGCTGGTATTTCAGTTATATCTAGGAGTCAATGGTGGTTGGGTTTATTGCAGTGCTGGTATTTCAGTTATATGTATGAGTGAATGGTGGTTGGGTTTATTGCAGCGCTGGTATTTCAGTTATATGTAGGAGTAAATGGTGGTCGGGTTTATTGCAGTTCTGGTTTTTCAGTTATATCTTGGAGTGAATGGTGGTTGGGTGTTTTGCAGTTCTGGTATTTTAGTTATATCTCGGCATGCCCAGGAATGAATGATGGTTGGATTATAACACAAAGGAAGCGGAGTTTGCACTCGGGAGGTTATCAAGCGGGCATGTTTATGCACACCATAGACCTATGATTCATGTTAAACTATCTCCTGGGACAATAGTATTCTATACAAGGAAAAACTCTCGGTGACTCTATTGTGACGTACACCCAGTAAGCACCTAGCTATATTCATCACTTGCCCTGGTATGTGGTATTATAACTACTCTAAGCTCCATGGATGAACGACCCAAAATTATCCAATATTTCTATGCCTCATCTTCTCTGTAAAGGGCGTGATCCTGATCCATCATGCGAGAACAAGTGAATCGGGCCTTCGCCGTAGTTAGCAGGTCCCCGTACTCCCCACAATCTCCACAGCGTCTCTGATTCCCAGAACTAATCCAACCCATCTTTCTCCACAGACTTCCAGGATTATACCAGATACCCTGACACAAGGCTGGAGGAGCCGTTCTCCGACCATCTCGCTAGGATGAGCCTCCCAGGTAAGCCCTGCTTCTGCTGGTGGCCATTGTAATCTGTGTTTGTATAATGGGTGGTGCTACCATTATACCCATAACCCCAGGGCTATGTTTAAAGAGGCTCGTGAATGATTCAGATTTGGATATTTTGTATGGCAGAGCTGCGAGACCTCATTCTTGTAGCTTCATCAGGGTGGGAGTGGTAAGTACTAGTTTATGGCTTTTTTAGTTTTGTAGATTCATATTTTACTTACGGTACACCTCTTTGTTTTACCAGAGAACGTGTTATGGATTTAAAAAATGAATTCTTTAAATCTCGATAAGGAGTTTATTAAAAAAATATTTTTTTACACAGATTCTTTTGAGGAATGTACATGATATTGTTCATGGTGGGTGTACTTTGAATGAGGCTGCCATTGCTATGTAAAGAAATCTAGCTGTGTGGGTCATCATGAGAGATCAATGGAATGGTTATCTGTTTAAAATGTGTAATAAATTTATTTTGTTACCATGCATAACATAAATAAAGTTCTAATTTTACCTTCATAGTCGTTTCTGACGCGCGTCATTAATAGAAAACATTCATCAAATCAACACTTTCCTTCCATAAAACGAGCACTTACTTTTCTGTGCAAAATGAGTGAGTGGCGGGTGCTACGGTAGACATACTGACCTTTTCACAACCACCCTGTGTCATCACTGATTTTCAGTGATCCATTCATAAAATTGTCACCCCCAATGGAATTTGTTTCGGCAGATAATGGATACTATTTATTCTCTGACGTTTTATATATACGTTAATAGTAATGCTTCAATCGACTGTCATAATTCCTGTGCCACAACTCGCAACGCCATTGAAAGGATGACGTCACTGAACTGCCAAAGGTCCAATAGACTTGGAAGCCAGTGTTCCCAGGATGTTAATCCTGGGTCCTTGGTCAGCAACACACTGACAGGCTTGATCTTCTATCAGAGAAAGTCTATTACATGTGTCACTTCCTCTATGATTACACACAATATCTGAAATACACATACCCCCCTCCTCCAACAATCGCCGTTTTAAGACGTTGTCAAACAAGTAGTCACTAAAGTTAAACCGTGTTGACATATTAATATTTGGCTGTCATTGTGCATATATCATTATGTTTTATCGATGTCATGATACCCGAAATCAAAACAGTTATTTCATGACTTTATTTCAATTTATACAAATCCCCAACCTAACGGACACACGTATGAAGGCGCAGACACCCCGACGTCAGCAGAAACAGCTAAGCCCATGTCAAAACACAAGGCGATACAAGAACGTAGGGCAATATGATACGCGCCCTCATTTGGAATCTTTGGTTATTCGACCTTGACTTCAAGCTAATTGCTGCCCTATTCAGGTGAGTCAGAGCTGATACTGATGCGATGTCAGATGCCAGTCATAAAGGGATAAAGGCACAATTACAACCTCCTTTCTGGAACACCACACAATCCTGCATTGGTACTTCATAATGTCCATCACATGCATGACCATCACCACCGACTTTTTGATTTTCTGAGGTGAGGATGGTGGGGATGAGTGGTACTTGGTAAGGTGAGGTGAAATGGGGTTTAACGTCGCGGCCAAGATTATTGCACTTATATAGCGACGTGTATGCACATGTGTGTGTGTGGCTTGTACTTGTCCGGACTCATACCGTTTTATAGGGCTAGCCCGCTGAGATACCATGCTGCAGTTTAACATGAATACCTCACTCAGACACAGTATACTGACTCAGAGCCGACCAGTCCTTGTTTTAGCCCCTTAATGCTGAGCGCAAGGCAGGGTAACAACAAATACCATCTTTTAACGTCTTTTGGTATGATGCTGCCGTGGATCGACCCCAGACCTTCCTCTCTCCGGGCGAACGCTCTACCACTAGACCACGGACGCGGCGGGTAGTTTTTGGAGGTGATGCTGTTGAATGATTGGTTGTTGAGGCTAGTATTGTGATTCAGTTTGAGACACACATCGATTTATACAAGGTATACAAATGACAGCGAAACCAAAAAAGAAAACAATAAGGGATCATGCACTGGCTTGACGTTACCATGACTGTGGTCGGTAGGTACACGGTGTCCTGTACTGGCTTGACGTTATCATGGCTGTGGTCGGTAGGTACACGGTGTCCTGTACTGGCTTGACGTTATCATGGCTGTGGTCGGTAGGTACACGGTGTCCTGTACTGGCTTGACGTTACCATGACTGTGGTCGGTAGGTACACGGTGTCCTGTACTGGCTTGACGTTATCATGGCTGTGGTCGGTAGGTACACGGTGTCCTGTACTGGCTTGACGTTATCATGACTGTGGTCGGTAGGTATGAGGTGTCCTGTACTGGCTTGATGTTTACATGGCTGTGGTCAGTAGGTATAAGGTGTCCTGTACTGGCTTGATGTTTACATGGCTGTGGTAGGTATGTATAAGGTGTCCTGTACTGTCTTGGCGTTATCATGATTGTGGTCGGTAGGTATAAGGTGTCCTGTACTGGCTTGACGTTATCATGGCTGTGGTCGGTAGGTACACGGTGTCCTGTACTGGCTTGACGTTATCATGACTGTGGTCGGTAGGTATGAGGTGTCCTGTACTGGCTTGATGTTATCATGGCTGTGTTATGTATGTATAAGGTGTCCTGTACTGGCTTGATGTTTACATGGCTGTGGTCGGTAGGTATAAGGTGTCCAGTACTGGCTTGACGTTATCATGGCTGTGGTAGGTAGGTACACGGTGTCCTGTACTGGCTTGATGTTATTATGGCTGTGGTCGGTAGGTATAAGGTGTCCTGTACTGGCTTGACGTATGTATGGATGTGGTAGTTATATATAAGGTGTCCTGTACTGGCTTGACGTATGTAGGGATGTGGTAGTTATATATAAGGTGTCCTGTACTGGCTTGACGTATGTAGGGATGTGGTAGTTATATATAAGGTGTCCTGTACTGGCTTGACGTATGTAGGGATGTGGTAGTTATATATAAGGTGTCCTGTACTGGCTTGACGTATGTAGGGATGTGGTAGTTATATATAAGGTGTCCTGTACTGGCTTGACGTATGTAGGGATGTGGTAGTTATATATAAGGTGTCCTGTACTGGCTTGACGTATGTAGGGATGTGGTAGTTATATATAAGGTGTCCTGTACTGGCTTGACGTATGTAGGGATGTGGTAGTTATATATAAGGTGTCCTGTACTGGCTTGACGTATGTAGGGATGTGGTAGGTATATATAAGGTGTCCTGTACTGGCTTGACGTATGTAGGGATGTGGTAGGTATATATAAGGTGTCCTGTACTTGCTTGATGTTATCATGGCTGTGTTATGTATGTATAAGAAGTCCTACACTTGCTTGGTGTTATCAAGGCTGTGTTATGTATGTATAAGGTGTCCTGTACTGTCTTGATGTTATCATGGCTGTGTTATGTATGTATAAGAAGTCCTACACTTGCTTGATGTTATCAAGGCTGTGTTATGTATGTATAAGGTGTCCTGTACTGTCTTGATGTTATCATGGCTGTGGTAGGTATGTATAAGGTGTCCTGTACTGGCTTGATGTTATCATGGCTGTGGTAGGTATGTATAAGTAGTCCTACACTTGCTTGACGTATCATGGCTGTGGTAGGTATGTGTCAGGTGCCATGTTCAAGGCCATTCCACACGGCGATCTTATCAGTCAGACGATCGTAATGCCAATATTCTAACACAGACGTACTACAGTCATTGCTCTTAGATCGCTTTGTGAAATACGAACTATACAAATACAATATATACTAGCGGCAAGAAACACACCCAAACAATAGTTTCTATAAAACTTCTAAGTACCCGAAAATGACCCGAGTTTCATTGATTATATTTTGTTGGTAAACCTCAATCAATATATCCAATCCAAACTAGATGTTCTTAAAAAAGAAATCACAACTAATCGCAAAAACCTTTTATTCCATTTGGGGGAAAACTTGAAATGACTGTGCAGTTTGTCCAAGGCCGACCTAGTAATCAGTAAGGCGTGACACACTGACTATCACAGACTATCATCTCCCGATGTTATCTGTGCCTGGACGTCATGTGATGAGGGGGATGATATAAAAGTGTATTTACATCCAGCCTTTTGCTCCTGCTCGCGAGCAACACATTTAGCGTATTATAATCATGTTCGTTGTAAACCTGCTTCAAAATGTTTGTAACATTTGTAAATGCGTTGTTTGTAACCCGAATATCTGCTCTGTAGTTCGGTATTAAACTGTAATAAGCAGCGGCCATTCAAACGGGTCTCCAGTATGTAGATAGATCTGCACAGTAGCAGTAGAAGCCTACAGATTAAAACATTCACCAGGCACTGTAGTCTGGCAAACGGTGCCTAATATATATACCTATAGGCTACCAAAGCCGTGTAAACGTCAAGCCAATACAGGACATCTTAAAATAGTTACCTACCACAGCAAACATCTAGAGTTTGGACCAACTCAGTCTTTTTCCAAGTCCTTTTGCCAAGACCGGCTCATTGTATCTTATAAAACTCTGGAGCAGAACACACTAACAAGATAAATATAAAGGTTTTGTTTAAGAACATTCCTAATATTCACCCTACCTGAGCAGTATAAATGTGTCCAGAGTAGATTTATTAGAGCTCTTCTAATCGAGGGTTTATATAAAAATAAAGACGCATTTATTCTACCGTGTGTCACACTTGCAATTATTACTTTGTTGTTACCAGTTCAGGGGCGGTGGGTATCCTAGTTCATAACGTGTTCGCTTTTCACGTCGATTGCGCGGGTTCGATCCCACATGTGTACAATCTTTGACGCCCCTATCTTGTTTCCCTGCCGTGATATTGATAAGACTCAATCACTCACTATTGCCAGTTCAAAGTTATGGTCAAAGAGACTGAACCCTCTGATTTACAAGTCCATGCTTACAGACGTGCCGTGAAACATGTCTGTTTGAAACACTCACCGCCCTCCCTCCCCAATAACGCCCAGTACATCTGTATACAAATATAGATACACAGTCGCTAAACAAGCTTGACAAGCTCGTCACGGGGCGACTCACACACACCTGGTCCCCACCCTAACCCTCTTTAATGTGCCCAGTGACCCGTGTAGACCCGAGACGCATCCACCTAGTGTCCTCCTCCTCCTCCACCTCCGCATCAGCAGCAGTGTGCTGGGCGAGTCTCCATGCTCGACAGCATGATGCCGGGATAAAGTAGGCACGGCCACTCGTACTGTACATTTGTAGCGTGTAGCTGTCAACACTATTAAGATCGGCTCAGCTGGAAACAGGGTGGAGACGTTTAAATCATCTGTATAAGAGACGTCCATGCGTTGCATCATCTGGTACGCTGAAACTACGGTCCAACCTCGTTATCTCGAACTCGAATGTACCGATATCTCGAACCTACCCTCCGGTCCCCATCGCCCCACTATATAAATGCAGATTAATTCGCACTCTTATCTCGAGTTCTCGATAAATATACATAACGCTATCTCGAACCTTGAACTTGTTCCCAACTTTGACTTTACTGTAGAATTGTGTACCTTTATCTCGAAGTTGGCATTTGCTACATTTACAGTTTAATTTGAAGTATAGTGAAGGTTTTTTTCACACAGAATGAATTATTAACCAAATCAAACATTTTAGATTTGTTAAATTATATGACCCTGGGCCCGATACCAAAAAGCGATGTTTGTGTTAGGAAGATCATAACTCCCAGTCGTCAACCCTAACTTACGACAATCGTTGCGCTGATACCGCCATGTGGAACCAGCCCAAGAGTACACATGTTTCACACGTGTGCCAAGAAAGTGCTTATATATCCGAAGCATGAGACGTGACAATGTCATGAATATATTACAGCAGGTCAAAGGTTATGTCAAAGGTTGCAGCGATTAAAATATATTTAGAGAAAATGTATTCATGTTCAACCCTCACTCACGGTCTCCTCAGAATATTAAAGTTAAATTACTATTTAATAATAAAAACAGTCCCTCTTATAATAAATCCCCGTATAAGAGATTGATAAAGATATATGCATAACGATATCGATTTCAACAACTGAAAGTGAGGATGTACCTGAGATTTGTGAGTGAGTGAGTGAGTGAGTGAGTGAGTGAGTTGGGTTTAACACTGCTCTAAACAGTATTCTAGTCATATAACGGCGTGTCAGCTTGATGTGGGAGGAAAGCCCGATGTGATGCAGGACGTTTCAGCTCTGGGGTATCTGTTTATCGTTTGTTCCTTTTTTTATACTAAGGGTTGAAGTTAAAACCTACTTTCATGTAAGTTTAACAAATGCACCATGCCGAAAATGTTCGAATGTTACATCAGCACTAAAATGACTTAACCGTGACATATACACATTGTACGTCAGAGATTACCCACTTTCGATTATTTGCTGAAAAAGATTCCACTGGGCGTCAAATGCAAAACAGGTGAATAATTTATGAATGGATCACTGAAATTCCGATATGACACCAGCTGTTCGCGAAAAGGACAAGCATGTCCTTCCCTACAGGTAGCAACCGCCAATCACACAATTTGCGTAGAGAGGGTTTGTTGCCTAGCGCCGCACAGCGTTTACAAACCAACCAATCAAGTGATGGACCAGTAAATCTAGTGGAACGATAGCGTGTTTGGATACTTTTTTTACTGTCATTTGTGTATTTGAGAGGAAACAAAGATGATTAACATGCCAAACAGGGAATTAAAGGTAGTCATCGACCGCTCATTCCAGTTGCAACTCAACCCCAAAACAAGGCCTCTCCGGTGGGGCAAAAGGCCTGGTATCATCACTATTTGATAGCCATTCTAAACACATGTTCATAATATAGACGAAATCGTAAAACGACGCTGATTTTGGCAGAAATTTCTTATGATTACGGAAAGGGTTTTGCTGTTTTGCATTTATTTAAGTTTTTCAACACATGAGTCCTAAATGGTAGTTATAACACTGGTGTATTTTAGAGAAAGGGAAATCCATTGTGACGCATTTAGACCACGTGTTACATTAGGTCTTCAAGCCTTTGGGTTACCCCCGATGACGTCCCTTAACAAAAGTTTGTCTTAATTTACAGGTCAGAGGTACTCGTACCAGCCTTTTTCTCAAAATAACTCACAACCCTACAGTCAACCATTCTCCCAATCTTTCCCCGAAGAACGCGACGTAATCACACAGCCATACCTTGGCAACATGGAGATTCCCCCGAATGGCCGCAATGTCAGGACATACACTCTTCCCCACAGGAGAGGAACACGTGAGCGACAGCCTATCATGATCGTACCCCCAAAGAGGGAACCCAAACTGATAACCATGGAGGTGAAGTCCCCAGACCCAGAACCGATTTTCATAATGCCCCCACCTCCGCCGAAACAGAAGGTAATTGAGTACGAGGTTCCTGTGAGACCCAAGACCCCAGAGCCGATCCTTGTGCCAGTTATGCCCCCTCCCAAGGAGCCTGAGTATGTGACGGTGAGGCATGTCGTGGAGGAGCAAGCCGACGGTAGCAACTGGGTTGTACCAAATCATCATGAGCCGCCTGCCTACAGAACTTCCGGACCAACCATTTCAAGGATACCGGACGACTATGAACGAAAGGTAGGTATCTGGCTTAAATATTAGTATCTGGCGTTTGAAACTGATTAACCGTTGGAAAATATATTCATTAGTGCCATTTCTGACTAGTGCCTGTAACCACGGACGTATATACGTCTTTGCTGTAACAAACATGAATATTTTGTTGATTTCTGTTCGAAGAACATTCTGGTAAACTGTTTCTGATATGTGCGTTAACCATAGTATATTTTGCCAATCGTGGATTGAAAAACCCAACATAGCATCTAACAAAAGTCCCAATTCCCTCCATCTGTTGCTGCTTCTTTTGTAATCATCCTGTTTCTGTGCCTGTTTATGACTTCACTAACCCGCCATTCTCGCCCCGTCTCGACAGTTTCGGACTAAGAACTGGATCGCCCGATCAAGCCAGTGGTTGCCCACGAGAAGATCCCGCTATTCGTAACTGGGTATGCTGCATACGTACACACTGACCTAATGCCCGAATTTGCCTCAGTTTACAAACGGTGATAGGCACTCTTGCTTTAACACTCTCCCTATAGATGGATCCTCCTCACAGTAGTACCTGCATCTAGTTTAGTGCTTCATTGTGCAAATTGTCTTTCTGAAATTTTTTATTTAATAAATCTAACGATATGTTACCGGACTGAGCTGATGTTTGTACCTAAGGTTTGCACAAAATGAACATGCATTACATCCTCGAATACCCAGGGTAATATATCTCCCTCCGGTTATAATAGCCATTCACCATCATAGCTTCGTTTTATGTCTGATTAAAATAGGCGATGCTAAAAGCAGCTATCAACTCCAATGACACCCATGAGCTTGAAAATATTTGTGCGAGGTTACAGATAAGAGGTGGGGACAATGACGACACTCCATGGACGAAACTATGGTTCAACGTATTTATTATAATAGGATATGACACATTGGATAGTCGACGGTTGCTGGAGGAAATCACGCATTAGCATGCATACTAGCCTCATTGCAGGACAAATCCATCGACAGGCACTACAGGTCTATAAGCAGGTCCTAATTTCTTTGTACTCAACACTGTACATGGTCATATTCAGCACTCCTGCTGTGTGTAACCTTATCATGCTAACTAATCACATGCTACGCACTATACCCGGTTGTGGCAAATTCGGATATTGGGTCGCAGTTGGTATGTATGAACTCAAAGTAAAACTGTCCTCTTGGAGTGGAGACAGTGTCGGTGGAGGGAGGGGTGTGGGCAGAGGATATCCTGTCGTAGATATCCCACTCGCCCCACGCTTCACCCCCACGAACCTGTAGGTTTTACAAGGTAACTTGAGGAGCTTGAGTACCTTGTCTTCTGTGTCAGGAGAACTTGAAATTTGTAACATACTCAGAAACATACCTCATCATATCCCGGGTGCTACAGAGAAGGCAAAGAATAACCTACAATTTGCTTTGGAGGAAATCTTGAATATCCTACCGTCGGCTTTATAAGCTATCTTATACGTGTCAGAAAGTATAATAAAATACCCTGCAATATGTATTAGAGGTTATCGAGACTGCCCTGCCATTCGTGTTATAGTTTGAGCTATGGATATTACCCCAATATTACCGTATTACAAGCTTTGTAGACTACGCTTCCTTTTGCATTAGAAGATATCTACCCTCCCCTCGGTGTAAGGGGGTACCTTGAAGAGCCGACCCTAGGTTCAATAAGCCAAATGCAAAATCAAGAACGTGTTTCATCTTGAATGTTCAATGTCAATAAACAGTAGGGTATTGCCTTTTAGACAACCACCGGACCTATTGACCAGAAGGTCCTCGTTAAACACCTGTAACCATCGAAATCAGTTGTCATGATGATTATGTTAAGATAAATCCCTTTCTGAACTATATAAGCACGCCACACACCCTCTGTAGTATAGGAATGTAACACTAAAACAAAATAGAGTGACACAGCACAATATCACATTCACTGATAGCATGACGTCACAGTCAATCACCTTGTAGTAAGCCAGCTATTCTGATTATGCAGTTAGTGCAGGAGAGTCACGCCAATGTCACTTCGGGACGATATGTTGAATTTCATTGACGTAAAGTGTAAAGGTTTTATGATTTAGCTCAGCTACGCTATACATGTCAGGTTCCGGTAAGGCACGGACAATTTGATATTCTTTGGGTGGATTGAATCAACGTATTCAAGGCGTCAATCCACTTTCCACACGATGGGTAAATGTGTGAATGTTCTGTAGCGCCGTAGTATTTCTCCAGCAATAACACGGCCTATCAATCCCCTGAATCCCAACTGGGGCGCCACACTCTGAGCACCAATATATACTGAGGAAAACAAATAAGGGAACACATGAAAGTACACGTTCCTTTATTCTTTTCCAGGTTTCTTCGCATGCTTTGAATTGCTCTGTGGGTGAAAATCTGGAAATAAATAAAGGAACAGTGTGATGAAGTGGTGTTCCCTTATTTGTTTCCCTCAGTATATGTCAAATACGACTCTTGCTCTGTGACCTTCTCAGTGGATACCTACGGTTTGTCCCCAGCAACCTTGGCGACATTTTGGACTTAGATGATTGCGTAATCTCGTTTCCCGACTGTGTTGATCATTGTTCATAATATCAATCATTGGATTATCTGGTCCAGACTCGATTATTTATAGGCCACGTATATATCTGGAAATTATAACGCAGATCATGTCGCTTTAATATTACTAAGTGAGAAACAAACCAACCAACAAACAAATGGTATGTAACCTGATGATAAATGCTTACTGAATTTCGCCTTCCTCTTCTTCTCCCCAGTCGACGTACAGCGAAACTCTCCTCGGCGTGCGACGCACCATCTTGTGGGAACTCGTCATCGCCAGTTTTGTCCTGTTTGTCGTCATGCTCCTCATCGCCATCTTTGTTGCCGGCTTCCTCTCCTAAACGACGTCTCGAAGTCTCCAGGTCTAACTCTGTAATCAGGGGCTCCAAATATTTCTTATCCAAATGAACCACCTTGTACTCATTACATTCAACAGCAGGGCGTGAATTTGGACGACGTCGCTGACAATGCGTCCTTACTTATATCAGCCAGGAGGCCCTGTGGTTAAAGCGCTCGCTTGTCTCGCCGAATGCCCGGGTTCAATTCCCCACATGGTCGATTCCCCACATGGGTATAATAAACAGTGTACCATGCCGTGATATTGCTGGAATATTGCAAAAAGCGGCGTCACACTCTCACTAATAGACCAGATTTGATTTGGATATGATAATAGATCGTATTGGTAAATGTTGAATATCCATTGAACCGTGTCACACTGTTTCGAAACATACGTTGTCCCGTGAATAGTTCTATATTAACACTCTATGTGTGTTCTGGGCATGCGCGATACCGGCGTTAAACATTCCAGACAGCCATCAAGACTCCTGTTCTTTACATATGGCATCTTTCGCACATGCCTGTCAGACAACGATGGTGTCTGAATGTTAATTTATTTTAGGGCACCATGCAGAGTTGCGTCCCTTAGGTGTTCCAGAAACCTATGATCCTTGTTTTAATTCCAGATTCGCCCTGTTTATACTTCTAAGTTTGTTAGTACCATCCCCGAGCTTGTGGTTTCACCAAAGTGACAAACGTCTACGACATGCATCAACTTGGACATCAAGTTGACACGCCATGATATAACTGAAATACTGTTCCAGGCTACTTTGTTCAAACCTAACTGTTGTATAACTTTCATGACAGTGGAACCTAGTTATCGCATCCTTTGGATAATGTTGCATAGAATACACGACAGGGTCCATAATATTTATGTAGGGACTGAAATGTTGCCTGTAAAAAGATCACACATTAACAAGGATATAATAATTGATTTTTCTGGAGTAATTTTGTTTGATAGAGGAAGCTTTGGGCTTTGGTTCGAACTAGTGACGCCGTGACTGAACACAACAAAACCACGAATTTACGAATCGCTGATATACTCGTGATATAAGCTACACCGCATTTCACTACAACATAGACAACTGGGCGTCACTGGTGTTGGTGACGTCACACCGATTGTTTTCATATTGTCTAAATCCGCAAAAACATTGTGACATATATTAAACATATTCTCAAAAGTTGTTTGTTGTAAGTAATAGGATTAGGATTTTGAATCAGTTTTAGACCGATGTTTTTGTTTCTAAACATGCATTTTAATAATTTGGACAACTTCTACGAATCGAGGTTGTATCATTCTTCTTTTTTGTTGACGAAAATACCATGTTCCAACACATCTGCAATCATAGCCCGTGATTCACAGTAGTCAGCAATTCACATCACACCAGCACCACACGGAAAGGTCGGGGGCTATAGCAATACGTGTTATGAAAACGCCATTTCAAACAATAAATAAATCTGAATTAATTCGCTGCTGTTAAAATGTTCATAATAGCACGGTACAGATAGATTAGTATATATGTATTGATATGTATTCAACTATATATTGTAAATATGTATGCCACCTGTGTATTAATTATATGAGCAATAAAGATCTATTTTGTATTAATCAGTCGTTGTATTTGGCATGGAGTGACTGTACACTGTACACTGTTACAGGACAATATGATGTCTGAGCTTATTCCATACCGTGGCGTCCGTCGTCCGTACGTCAACAATTTATTCAAACGACCTCTTCTTCGGAACCACTGATTGGAAATTAACTAAATTTGACTGGAAGCATCCCTACGTGGTTGGGATTCAAAATTGTACAAATGGTGGGGCTGTGACCCCCCAAGGGGCTGAGGGGCGGGGCTGAATAGGGGTATTTTGGCTATATTGCTTGAAACGACGTCTTTTCTGGAACTAAGAGATAGATATCAATGATATTTGGTCGGAAGCATTTTCCAATGGTGGAGATTCAAAATTGGAGAAATGGAGTTGCTAATTATTTCTATTCTAGGTACAAAGACAATTGTGCGAAACAAAGTCAAATGGTGTGAAACAAAGTCACATAGTGTCAAACAAAGTCAAATGTGTCAAACAAAGTCCAAAGTGTCAATTAAAGTCAAACGTGTCAAACAAAGTCAAATGGTGTCAAACAATGTCACATAGTGTTAAACAAAGTCAAATGTGTCAAACAAAGTCACATAGTGTCATACAAAGTCAAATGGTGTTAAACACAGTCAAACGTGTCAAACAAAGTCACATAGTGTCAAACAAAGTCAAATGTGTCAAAGTCAAAGTCAAATGGTGTCAAACAAAGTCAAATGTGTCAAAGTCAAAGTCACATAGTGTCAAACAAAGTCAAATGTGTTAAAGTCAAAGTCAAATGGTGTCAAACAAAGTCAAATGTATCAAACAAAGTCACATAGTGTCAAACAAAATCAAATGTGTCAAACAAAGTCAAATGCTGTCAAAGAAGGTCACATAGTGTCAAACAATGTCATTATGATGGAGGAATTGGGTGGTTAAACTTATATGACAAACGTTTTGTCACAGAAACAAAACAACCTGAGAAGTGATCCTCATTTATTGAAAAAACAACATCTTTGTCTTGGAAGGAAGATTAAATACAGACATTACAAGAGAATGAAGCAATAATTCAAAAACTCTGAAACTCAAGAGAGCGAGAGAATAATTTCATCACGCCGAAACTATTTTACTCTGAAATCTTAAAAAGCAAGGAATTGAAATAAGATGCAAGCAAAGAAAATGAATGTCAGGTGTGAAATGAAATTGTCACCATCTGAACAAATGTGTTTTCTTCTTTATATTTACGCAACTTACTCGCATGACTTTGAAACTGCCATAAACCTTCCAATATTGCATTTATACCGCTGAAGTTGCTGCCTGGATGTGCACGAGTTGTCTCCCTTGATTGATGAGTATGATTAATATTGCGTATTTAGTGTAAGGGCAAGTGGATCTTCTCTAAAACATATGACAATATCCTTCCGCAAATGCCGACATAAATAACAGCGAGAAATGGACTTTCTTGGACAATATGTTGAAATAAGAGAAGCTCTGATGAATATATAGATGATTACAGTTATTCTATACCCCAGAACGGGCATGTCTGTATTTGAGGTGTAGAAGTATCGCGAGGGGAATACAGTCTGAATGTACCCGATTTGTGGCCTTGGCCCCCTAGCCGACAGGCGAGGACTACACGGCCACACAGAGGGTACATCAAACCGTTTTCCTTGTGGATAAGCCTACAACGATTTATCTTGTTTATATGTTTATCTTTTCTCGCAAAAAAACGGACCCTGAAACGCGAAGAGCTTGTTGCCATAGTTCCAGACGACAATTTGTTTACGTTAAGGCTGTGTGCATCACGTGCATATAAAGTGAATGTGAATGAACATTATGCGATGCCGTTTCACTGTAAGGAGCTTGAATTGCAGAGATTGCAGAGATCGGACGAAGATCTTCAGAACGTATGTTGCCACGACGGCGGAGTATGTTTTTTTAATGTATTTAAACGCCATTCACCTATATATTCAATTTTACATGAAGGGTAAGAAAAGAGTTTTATTTACACTGTGTTTTGCAATTCACACGTCCTAGACATGTTTTAGTCTGGGGTGTTTAGATTTGTGTTCAAATCCTAAACGGAAAGGTTTGTGCTCGGTTTATGGTAACATCTTTGGATTTCACCATCGATACACATGACGTGATCATATACCAATATTACAATAAGAGACCCGTGAATATCCGGGGTAGAATTTGTCTTCAGCAACCAATGCTTGTCGTAAGAGGCGACTAACAGGATCGGGTAGTCAGACTCGCTGACTTGGTTGATGCATGTCATCGTATCCCCAAAACGCGTGGATCGATGCTCATGATATCAGTCACTAGACTGTCTGGTCCAGACTCAATTATTGACAAACCGCCGTCATATAGCTGGAACATTGCTGAGTGTGGCGTTTAACAACAAACAAACAAACAAACAACAAACACAATAAGATACTTTCTCTAACCGCATTTTCGTGGTGAAAATGAAAGACTATCTTTTGATTCAGACGAAATAACAAAAGACAAAAAAGGCTTTTGACATATGTTCGTGTGAGGTGAGTGAGTGAGTGAGTGTGTGAATGAGTGAGTGAGTGAGGGTCAACAGACGACCGAGTGAGTGAGTCAGTGTCGGAAGGATGTAGTATTGCAGCAACACTGCGACTGGGAACAGCCCTAAATGGCCTACACCCATTACACCCATGTGGAGAACTGGGACCTTTGCTTTCGGGAACAGATAAATGTTTTCAAAACAGTCACCCTCCCACCCTCCTCGAATATGAAGATTGGCAACCCATTAACGACATACTAGTATATGCCGCATACCAAACGAACCTTGGTCCTCTATACACGTCGCACATGATACAGTCATATACTGCTCCAAATGGGGGTTTAGTATCACATATACAGTGATAAGTTGTCAATTGTTTACTATGTAGACTCACGACGAGGGACATTTCATAGAACCACTTCGAGACAGAGCAAGATTGGGATTCACGCATAAAGGGAATCAAACCGGGTCTGCGGCGTGACGAGCGAACGCTTCGGAACAGCTGAGCTATCCCCCTCGACCATAATCAAACCATCACTGCCAGCAACCACACAGAACATGTGTGTGTGTGAAGTACATTGTATAAGTGAGGGAAGTTACTTCCCCTCGGCGCCATGACGCCATGACGCCTTGACGCAACAGATACCGGATGTACTCAACACAACCATGACACAGTGTGTGTACATTGCTGGTTTGTATGGTGGTCGTGTGTCGGCGTGAAGTCGGCCGGGCCTTATCTCAGTCCTACTGACGCCAGGAAGGTCTGTTTGAGAGAGGTGCGTTCCCGCGGTGTCTCCAGGTAGGTCCTCCTGCCTTGGGGGTCTGACGGACTCCACGTGCTGTCGGGGGTGATGCTTTGAAGGAAACGCTGAAACAGGTAAACCATAATAGTGACTACATAAATAAAAGGTTTTGACCGCAGCCAGGGATATACACATGTTTCCACATAACCATGAAGTAACAGTCGCCAGTTGATGAAATGTCTGTTGTAAGTTAAGGTATGTACAAACATGGTTCACAATTTGAATCTTTTCCTTAAATGACCCCCCCCCCCCCCCCCCCCCCCCCCCCACCCCACCCCCATTTTATAAAGAAAGTTACTTACCTTATTCGACTTTCATTCCGATAAATATATAGCTGCGTTTCCGTATCGTAATTATAAAATTATTAAGAATAAAACATGTGTATTATGGTCAAGATTCAAATTATGAACCATTTTGGCACAAAACTGAACTTACAACAGACAATTTCTCGGTTCAATTCCGAACAAAAATATTGTCATTGTTACGTTTTTCCATTTTCCTTCCACTCAAAGCTCCTAAGCAGGCATGGAGACACAAAACATGACCGACCAACTCATCAGATTCTTGTACGCCTAAGGGACGCAACTCTCCGCAACGAACTACGAAACCTTAAATCACGACATTCATGCCCCCAGCATTAACACATGAAAACCAGCCTACCTGTTTTAGTGAACCATTTGCTCTGTTTAGTGTCATCACCATGACGACCAAGACGGGCATGACTGGAATACACGCCAGGATCCAGCCAATCACGGGAGCGTAATCCGGGTACTCGTACTTCCCGTATGTCGGGGGGCTGTACTGGATCAGCGTGAAAATGAAGGCCGTCTGCAAGAAGGGATATATTAGGCAAACTCCGAGACGTTAGGGGTCGATAAGACGCTAAAACAGTTTCATTTGGGTGGATAATGCCCCTTGATGACTAATTACCTAAATAGGTATATATACATAGGTATATTCTGATACACATTTTAATTTACCTCAGCGCACAGGATATGACGCTAGCAAGATGGATGATAACATTAGCTATAAAATCGAGTGAGAATGGTCAACCCTTTTAAAAACACCAAGGGGCTTCACATGCTGTGTCCATGTTACTAGCACTAACCACTTAGCCACCAATAGCAATCCCACTTTGACTTCGGATACCCTTAAAACGATTAAATGTCACATAATTATACTTCGCTGAATAAAGCTCTCCAGCTGTCGACATATGGAGGACAATTCCAAATTTGAAGCATCAGTGACAAGTATGATGTCCGATGCAATTCCCTATTTTGACTTGTACTTTATGTTACCGTGATTTTTCAGGTGAACAATTGACTTGCCTTTGCATGTGTTTGTGACGGGTGCCAGCGGTGGGGCAGGAAAAGCTCACCTTTTCAGGAACACCTGGTATCACCACTATTTGATAGTGATTCAAGCAACACATGGTCATGGCATAGTCGGAATCGTACAACCGACTCTGCTTTTAGCAGAGATTTCTTATGAAGATGGAAAGGACTTTGTCGTTTATATTGTTAATATCAGTTATATTGTTGTAAGCGGATGTAAAATCCTTGAACGACAAAATGGTAAAGACAAAAAATGACCGTAAGTAATGCAGGGTTGTGTCTCTAAGCCGTAACAAGATCCGATGAGAACCCCACATTCGCCCAAAATACGATCCTGAGTTTGTCAACATCATATCAATGCATTGTGGGTTTCACTTAAGAGGGGAGCGGTCGAGTAGCCTAGTGGTGAAAGCGTTCGCTCGTCACGCCGAAGACCCGGGTTCGATTCCCAACATGGGTACAATGTGTGAAGCCCATTTCTGGTGTCCACCCCTCCTCCCTTGATATTGCTGGAATATTACTAAAAGCGGCGTAAAACCATACTCACTCACTTACTCACTAAAAAAGGACATCTGTATGAATTCTACATGAAGTTGACACCCCATGACATTTGCCTACCATCATAAACAACGGTGTGATATAACACCACGTGATCTTGAAGAATAATGGTGGTTTCCGACCCAGCATTAGCTCAATGTCGTCACTGAACCGCTCTATGCCTGAAACCAAGCACACAATATATTGCATATATCAAATGATGTACGAACGTTTAAGAATAAAACAATATATACAGGGAAAGTTAATAAGTAGTTAGTTTGCCACTTCATAGCTCAAGACCCGTGAAGATCCGGGTGAGAATAGGTCTTCAGCAGCCCATGCTTGCCGTAAAAGGCGACTGTGCTTCTCGTAAGAGGCGACTAACGGGATCGGGTGGTCAGGCTCGATGACTTGGTTGATGCATGTCATCGTATCCCAAATGCGTGAATCGATGCTCATGAGGTCAATCACTGGATTGTCTGGAGTCGATTATTTACAGACCGCCGTCATAGAGTTGGAATATTGCTGAGTGCGGCGTTAAACAAACAAACAAACAAAACGTCATATCTCAAGGGGCGGTCGGGGAGCCTTGTGGTTAAAGCGTTCGCTCGTCACGCCGAAGACCCGGGTTCGATTCCCGACATGGGTACAATGTGTGAAGCCCATTTCTGTGTCCCCCGCCGTGATATTGCTGGAATATTGCTAAAAGCGGCGTAAAACCATACTCACTCACTCATATCTCAATGTAATGTATATGCGGAAGGATAACAAATAAGGATGAACAACTTATTTTTCCTTTATTACACCTGGGGAGGTGGTGTAGCCTAGTGGTTAAAGCGTTCGCTCGTCACGTCGAAGGCCCGGGTTTGATTCCAATCATTGGTACAATTTGAGAAGCCTATTTCTGGTGTCCCGCGCCGAGGTATTGCAGGGATGGGTTCTAAGAGCAGCGTAAAAGCATAGTCACTCACTCACCTTTTTACAACTAGGGGCGACCTTTTGGTGTAGGCTTTAACTACGTCATCAAGCACGTGGTACATGGCGTGGATGAGAGTCAAATACACACGTATGACGTTGTGTTTATACTTCTCCTAATCGTAATAAAGAAGCTGTTCGACCATATATGGTATCTTTACTTTGAACTCCAACCTCTAAATGATGATGGGGCGGTCGGGTTAAAGTGGTTAAAGGCGTTCGCTCGTCACGCAGAAGACCCGGGTTCGATTCCCAACATGGGTACATTGTGTGAAGACCATTTCTGGTGTCCCTTGTCGTGATATTGCTGGCATATTGCTAAACGCGGCGTAAAACCATACCCACTCACTCACTTACTCACTCTAAATGATGACAGCAGTATCTGGTCTCAGACGAAAATTGCCCCAAAATGTTCTGATTGTATAACTCTTGTATGAGTTAAAATTTTACATCGCATCGGCAATATTGCAGTCATGTCGCGATGAGAACAAGATAATTATTATCATACTTGTTGACAAAGGACAGTAAAACAGTAAGGTGAGTATCACAGTTTAGGTATAAAACAAATGGGATCAAATGAAAACAGTAAGTATTGTCAGAAAGCTACCGTATATCCAGGCCACACAGACACACTCCAGGAAGGCTGTTGTAAGCAGCACCAGGAAGGCGAAGTACCAGTCGATCAGCTGGAATATGTACATCCCTGCCTGCAACACAAACAGTGAGGGCCGGCTACTTCAAGTGGGCACGGGTGGGTGTGGTGTGGTGCTACTTCACATGGTGTAACCTGAGATATGGACGAGGGATTATAATTACGTTGTTCATATTACACCCTACTGCAAATATCGGACTAGTTTTGGATCGGGGACTAGTTGTTCATATTGCACCCTACCGGAAATATCGGACTAGTTTTGGATCGGGGACTAGTTGTTCATATTGCACCCTACTGCAAATACCGGACGAGTTTTGGATCGGGGACTAGTTTTTGATCGGGGACTAGTTTTTGATCGGGGATAAGTTGTTCATATTGCACCCGACTGGAAAGATCAGAATAGTTTTGGATCGGGGGTTAGTTGTTCATACTGCACCGGTACCGAACTGGAAATATCGGAATAGTTTTGGATCGGGGATTAGTTGTTCATATTGCACCTACTGTAAATGTCAGAATAGTTTTGGATCGGGGATTAGTTGTTCATATTACACCTACTGTAAATATCAGTTACGTGTGTTTGGTGTGTATATCTCACCCTGGTAGTGACGACGAGCCCCACAAAGTAGGCGACTATACAGAAGCCTGCAGTGAGATAGATTCGCTTCTCCCTCAGCCGCGGATACTGGTCAAAGAGGGCTGACATCACCGTCTCCACCGTAGCAAACTGCAGCATGACGCGGAAGATAAACTCACCATACAGGGCTAAACATCTACTGAATGCATAACTATAATAACACAAAATGTGTACACACACGTTATCAGGAATTTAATGCAAACACGAACATATTCAGGTAAAGAGAAACACAGTTGTACTTAGAGTTAAAAGCGATTGGAGTTTCATTCCAACGACACTGCATTAGCAGTATTCATGCAAGCGCATTCATATGTTAAGATGTCGATTGGAGCATGTCATGATGGACCCTACAGAGACAGTTAATGTCAGTATTCAGTTGGCCCTAGACAGACAGAGAGACAAGCATATGGCGACAGGGAGACAGAGACAGAGAGACAAGCATATGGCGACAGGGAGACAGAGACAGAGACAGAGAGACATGCATATGGCGACAGGGAGACAGAGACAGAGAGACAAGCATATGGCCACAGGGAGACAGAGACAGAGAGACAAGCATATGGCGACAGGGAGACAGAGACAGAGAGACAAGCATATGGCGACAGGGAGACAGAGACAGAAAAAAAGCATATGGCGACAGGGAGACAGAGACAGAGAGACATGCATATGGCGACAGGGAGACAGAGACAGAGAGACAAACATATGGCGACAGGGAGACAGAGACAGAGAGACAAGCATATGGCGACAGGGAGACAGAGACAGAGAGACAAGCATATGGCGACAGGGAGACAGAGACAGAGAGACAAGCATATGGCGACAGGGAGACAGAGACAGAGAGACAAGCATATGGCGACAGGGAGACAGAGACACGGAGACAAGCATATGGCGACAGGGAGACAGAGACAGAGAGACAAGCATATGGCGACAGGGAGACAGAGACAGAGAGACATGCATATGGCGACAGGGAGACAGAGACACAGAGACAAGCATATGGCGACAGGGAGACAGAGACAGAGAGACAAGCATATGGCGACAGGGAGACAGAGACAGAGAGAAAAGCATATGGCGACAGGGAGACAGAGACACAGAGACAAACATATGGCGACAGGGAGACAGAGACACGGAGACAAACATATGGCGACAGGGAGACAGAGACACAGAGACAAGCATATGTCGACAGGGAGACAGAGACAGAGAGACAAGCATATGGCGACAGGGAGACAGAGACACAGAGACAAGCACATGTCGACAGGGAGACAGAGACACAGAGACAAGCATATGGCGACAGGGAGACAGAGACAGAGAGACAAACATATGGCGACAGGGAGACAGAGACAGAGAGACAAACATATGGCGACAGGGAGACAGAGACACAGAGACAAGCATATGTCGACAGGGAGACAGAGACAGAGAGACAAGCATATGGCGACAGGGAGACAGAGACACAGAGACAAGCACATGTCGACAGGGAGACAGAGACACGGAGACAAACATATGGCGACAGGGAGACAGAGACACAGAGACAAGCATATGGCGACAGGGAGACAGAGACACAGAGACAAGCATATGGCGACAGGGAGACAGAGACACAGAGACAAACATATGGGGACAGGGAGACAGAGACAGAGAGACATGCATATGGCGACAGGGAGACAGAGACACAGAGACAAACATATGGCGACAGGGAGACAGAGACAGAGAGACATGCATATGGCGACAGGGAGACAGAGACACAGAGACAAACATATGGCGACAGGGAGACAGAGACACAGAGACAAACATATGGCGACAGGGAGACAGAGACAGAGAGACAAGCATATGGCGACAGGGAGACAGAGACACAGAGACAAACATATGGCGACAGGGAGACAGAGACAAACATATGGCGACAGGGAGACAGAGACAGAGAGACAAACATATGGCGACAGGGAGACAGAGACACAGAGACAAACATATGGCGACAGGGAGACAGAGACACAGAGACAAACATATGGCGACAGGGAGACAGAGACAGAGAGACAAACATATGGCGACAGGGAGACAGAGACAGAGAGACATGCATATGGCGACAGGGAGACAGAGACAGAGAGACAAGCATATGGCGACAGGGAGACAGAGACACGGAGACAAGCATATGGAGACAGAGACAGAGAGACATGCATATGGCGACAGGGAGACAGAGACAGAGAGACAAGCATATGGCGACAGGGAGACAGAGACAGAGAGACAAGCATATGGCGACAGGGAGACAGAGACACGGAGACAAACATATGGCGACAGGGAGACAGAGACAGAGAGACAAGCATATGGCGACAGGGAGACAGAGACAGAGAGACATGCATATGGCGACAGGGAGACAGAGACAGAGAGACAAGCATATGGCGACAGGGAGACAGAGACAGAGAGACAAGCATATGGCGACAGGGAGACAGAGACAGAGAGACAAACATATGGCGACAGGGAGACAGAGACAGAGAGACATGCATATGGCGACAGGGAGACAGAGACAGAGAGACAAGCATATGGCGACAGGGAGACAGAGACACGGAGACAAGCATATGGCGACAGGGAGACAGAGACAGAGAGACATGCATATGGCGACAGGGAGACAGAGACACAGAGACAAACATATGGCGACAGGGAGACAGAGACAGAGAGACAAGCATATGGCGACAGGGAGACAGAGACAGAGAGACAAGCATATGGCGACAGGGAGACAGAGACAGAGAGACAAGCATATGGCGACAGGGAGACAGAGACAGAGAGACAAGAATATGGCGACAGGGAGACAGAGACACAGAGACAAACATATGGCGACAGGGAGACAGAGACAGAGAGACAAGCACATGGCGACAGGGAGACAGAGACACAGAGACAAACATATGGCGATAGGGAGACAGAGACACAGAGACAAGCATATGGCGACAGGGAGACAGAGACAGAGAGACAAGCATATGGCGACAGGGAGACAGAGACAGAGAGACAAACATATGGCGACAGGGAGACAGAGACAGAGAGACAAGCACATGGCGACAGGGAGACAGAGACACAGAGACAAACATATGGCGACAGGGAGACAGAGACAGAGAGACAAGCACATGGCGACAGGGAGACAGAGACACAGAGACAAACATATGGCGACAGGGAGACAGAGACACAGAGACAAGCATATGTCGACAGGGAGACAGAGACAGAGAGACAAACATATGGCGACAGGGAGACAGAGACACAGAGACAAGCATATGGCGACAGGGAGACAGAGACACGGAGACAAACATATGGGGACAGGGAGACAGAGACACAGAGACAAACATATGGCGACAGGGAGACAGAGACAGAGAGACAAGCATATGGCGACAGGGAGACAGAGACACAGAGACAAGCATATGTCGACAGGGAGACAGAGACACAGAGACAAGCATATGGCGACAGGGAGACAGAGACACGGAGACAAGCATATGGCGACAGGGAGACAGAGACAGAGAGAAAAGCATATGGCGACAGGGAGACAGAGACAGAGAGACAAGCATATGGCGACAGGGAGACAGAGACAGAGAGACAAGCACATGGCGACAGGGAGACAGAGACAGAGAGACAAACAGATGGCGACAGGGAGACAGAGACACAGAGACAATCATATGGCGACAGGGAGACAGAGACACAGAGACAAGCACATGGCGACAGGGAGACAGAGACAGAGAGACAAGCATATGGCGACAGGGAGACAGAGACACGGAGACAAGCATATGGCGACAGGGAGACAGAGACAGAGAGAAAAGCATATGGCGACAGGGAGACAGAGACAGAGAGACAAGCATATGGCGACAGGGAGACAGAGACAGAGAGACAAGCACATGGCGACAGGGAGACAGAGACAGAGAGACAAACAGATGGCGACAGGGAGACAGAGACACAGAGACAAGCATATGGCGACAGGGAGACAGAGACAGAGAGACAAGCATATGGCGACAGGGAGACAGAGACACAGAGACAAGCATATGGCGACAGGGAGACAGAGACACAGAGACAAGCATACGTCGACAGGGAGACAGAGACACAGAGACAAACATATGGCGACAGGGAGACAGAGACACAGAGACAAGCATATGTCGACAGGGAGACAGAGACAGAGAGACAAACATATGGCGACAGGGAGACAGAGACACAGAGACAAACAGATGGCGACAGGGAGACAGAGACACAGAGACAAGCATATGTCGACAGGGAGACAGAGACAGAGAGACAAGCATATGGCGACAGGGAGACAGAGACACAGAGACAAGCATATGTCGACAGGGAGACAGAGACAGAGAGACAAGCATATGTCGACAGGGAGACAGAGACACGGAGACAAGCATATGTCGACAGGGAGACAGAGACACAGAGACAAACATATGGCGACAGGGAGACAGAGACACGGAGACAAACAAATGGCGACAGGGAGACAGAGACAGAGAGACAAGCATATGGCGACAGGGAGACAGAGACACAGAGACAAACATATGTCGACAGGGAGACAGAGACACAGAGACAAGCATATGTCGACAGGGAGACAGAGACACAGAGACAAGCATATGGTGACAGGGAGACAGAGACACAGAGACAAACATATGGCGACAGGGAGACAGAGACACGGAGACAAACATATGTCGACAGGGAGACAGAGACACAGAGACAAACATATGGCGACAGGGAGACAGAGACACAGAGACAAACATATGGCGACAGGGAGACAGAGACAGAGAGACAAACATATGGCGACAGGGAGACAGAGACAGAGAGACAAGCATATGGCGACAGGGAGACAGAGACACAGAGACAAGCATATGTCGACAGGGAGACAGAGACACAGAGACAAGCATATGGCGACAGGGAGACAGAGACACGGAGACAAGCATATGGCGACAGGGAGACAGAGACAGAGAGAAAAGCATATGGCGACAGGGAGACAGAGACAGAGAGACAAGCATATGGCGACAGGGAGACAGAGACAGAGAGACAAGCACATGGCGACAGGGAGACAGAGACAGAGAGACAAACAGATGGCGACAGGGAGACAGAGACACAGAGACAATCATATGGCGACAGGGAGACAGAGACACAGAGACAAGCACATGGCGACAGGGAGACAGAGACAGAGAGACAAGCATATGGCGACAGGGAGACAGAGACACGGAGACAAGCATATGGCGACAGGGAGACAGAGACAGAGAGAAAAGCATATGGCGACAGGGAGACAGAGACAGAGAGACAAGCATATGGCGACAGGGAGACAGAGACAGAGAGACAAGCACATGGCGACAGGGAGACAGAGACAGAGAGACAAACAGATGGCGACAGGGAGACAGAGACACAGAGACAAGCATATGGCGACAGGGAGACAGAGACAGAGAGACAAGCATATGGCGACAGGGAGACAGAGACACAGAGACAAGCATATGGCGACAGGGAGACAGAGACACAGAGACAAGCATACGTCGACAGGGAGACAGAGACACAGAGACAAACATATGGCGACAGGGAGACAGAGACACAGAGACAAGCATATGTCGACAGGGAGACAGAGACAGAGAGACAAACATATGGCGACAGGGAGACAGAGACACAGAGACAAACAGATGGCGACAGGGAGACAGAGACACAGAGACAAGCATATGTCGACAGGGAGACAGAGACAGAGAGACAAGCATATGGCGACAGGGAGACAGAGACACAGAGACAAGCATATGTCGACAGGGAGACAGAGACAGAGAGACAAGCATATGTCGACAGGGAGACAGAGACACGGAGACAAGCATATGTCGACAGGGAGACAGAGACACAGAGACAAACATATGGCGACAGGGAGACAGAGACACGGAGACAAACAAATGGCGACAGGGAGACAGAGACAGAGAGACAAGCATATGGCGACAGGGAGACAGAGACACAGAGACAAACATATGTCGACAGGGAGACAGAGACACAGAGACAAGCATATGTCGACAGGGAGACAGAGACACAGAGACAAGCATATGGTGACAGGGAGACAGAGACACAGAGACAAACATATGGCGACAGGGAGACAGAGACACGGAGACAAACATATGTCGACAGGGAGACAGAGACACAGAGACAAACATATGGCGACAGGGAGACAGAGACACAGAGACAAACATATGGCGACAGGGAGACAGAGACAGAGAGACAAACATATGGCGACAGGGAGACAGAGACAGAGAGACAAGCATATGGCGACAGGGAGACAGAGACACAGAGACAAACATATGGCGACAGGGAGACAGAGACACAGAGACAAACATATGTCGACAGGGAGACAGAGACAGAGAGACAAACATATGGCGACAGGGAGACAGAGACACAGAGACAAACATATGGCGACAGGGAGACAGAGACACAGAGACAAACATATGGCGACAGGGAGACAGAGACACAGAGACAAACATATGGCGACAGGGAGACAGAGACAGAGAGACAAACATATGGCGACAGGGAGACAGAGACACAGAGACAAGCATATGGCGACAGGGAGACAGAGACACAGAGACAAACATATGGCGACAGGGAGACAGAGACAGAGAGACAAGCATATGGCGACAGGGAGACAGAGACAGAGAGACAAGCACATGGCGACAGGGAGACAGAGACAGAGAGACAAACAGATGGCGACAGGTAGACAGAGACACGGAGACAAACATATGGCGACAGGGAGACAGAGACACAGAGACAATCATATGGCGACAGGGAGACAGAGACAGAGAGACAAACAGATGGCTACAGGGCGACAGAGACACAGAGACAAACAGATGGCTACAGGGCGACAGAGACACGGAGACAGACCGACGTACCACTGTATCTAACATGAGTGCGATCAACATGAGAGAGAACACAAAGCTCCACAACTGCGGGACGGGTAGACGAGACAGAGCTTCTGGGTATGTCACAAAGCCAAGCCCCGGACCTGCAACAGCAAGGGTAGTTCACGCCATGGCGAGGGGCTGAAGGATGATCTTAATTGTTAGGAATGCTGTCTACGAATACAGCACCTGATTATTCACAAGCTGGAGGTTCTTATTGTGACTGTCCATGTAGTACACACATGTTACATCATACATGTAGGTACTGAAACTTACCTTTCTATAAAGCGAGGAAAGACTTGATTGATGACAATGTTTTGAGCCACTTATTTTTTTCTGGAGAACTGAGAGATTTGACAAAACAATTACCGATGAGGTTGATATTCAAACCTAGCCTTTTCAACTTTTTTGGTTTATTATTTAACAATATACGTATGTATAATTATATCTCGCAACCGTGAGGTGAAGCCAATGATGCCCATGCCTATTAATTTGTAGAGGGGATGTCTACATTGATGGAGGTTAAATCATCCAATGACCGCCTTGTGCTGGCATTTGCTTCAGAGCAGTGCCGCAGTTATATTTACTAACTAACCCTGAAGCAGGTTCTTGATTGGCGGTCGGGTGGCCTATTGGTTAAAGCGTTCGCTCGTCACGCCGAAGACCGGGGGTCGATTCCCGACATGGGTACAATGTGTGAAGCCAATTTCTGGTGTCCCCCGCCTTGATATTGCTGGAATATTGCTAAAAGCGGCGTAAAACCATACTCACTCACTCACTTGATTGGGAATTTGCTACCTAGGACCATGAAGAATCTATGACCTTTCATTTGATAGCATTTACGGTCCATTCTTCTCTAAATATTGTAAAATATGTGTCCACTTTTTAAAATATGGTGATTGTGCTAGTAATACTGTCATAGCGACTGATTTGGGACAACCATTGTCTGAAGAACATTTGATTCCAAAGGCTAATTACCCTGTAGCCATGACATGTATTATTTATAAGACGCTAATCCCCGTTGTAATCCTCAAAACATTTCATTGTATAGTGACTGTCAGCCACCGTGGTCTACTGTATTACTTCCCATTATTTACTGTTGACCGCCTCCGTGGTCTAATGGTAGAGCGTCCGCCCGGAGAGCGGAAGGTCCAGGGGTCGATCCCCGGCCGCGTCATACCAAAAGACGTTAAAAGATGGTACTTGTTGTTACCCTGTCTGGCGCTCGGCATGAAAGGGTTAAAACAAGGACTGGTCGGCTCGGAGTCAGTATACTGTGTCTGAGTGGGGTATTCATGTTAAACTGCCTCATGGTATCTCAGTGTGCTAGCACTATAAATCGGCATGCACGACGCTATATAAGTGCAATAATCTTGGACGCGACGTTAAACCCCATTTCACCTCACCTCACCTTATTTACTGTTATTTATATTATGACATTAATCCCCACAAGTCCCATGACCAGAACATCGTCATTGTCTCTTCGTCTGTCCATTGTTGTTCATTACTATTTATGTGTTACCATTACACTGTTAGTCAGCATAGCCGATGGCTGAAGCGGTCGTAAAATCTCTAAAACTCTCTCTCTCTCTGTTAGTCAGCTTGGTATTGCGAGAGCTGGTGTAGGGACGACCTCGAGCAGGATGTGTGGCTCGTCGGAAACGTCCTGAGGTTGAGGCTAGAGCTCCGCTCACCTCATGTATGCCTGAGCTGGAAGGTCCGCTCATCGCTGTGTTTGTGTTGTCAGAAAAGGTATTCCGCTCATTGTGTATTCGTTGTTTATTGTTTACATGTTGTGCATAAAACGTTCCGGGACAGTGATATCGATTTTGTCCTTGATTCCCCAAAGAGCCAATTCTCCGTCAACATGCACGTTGACAATAACCCTAAACACAGAAAAGACAAATAGGCAAGCTGATAACCTCACTGCGCCATGACCCTTTAACAGACCTGAAACTCACCTCAATTATCCCCCGCCAAACAAAGTTGGCGGGGATATAGAAACGGGCTCCGTCCGTCCGTCACGTTTCGTTTCCGGAGCATAACTCCAATATTTTTCATGAAACTTTGCAGGTCTGTCAAGTACATGCTGAAATGGTGCCTTTTGCTATTTAGATTTTTTTATTTTTTACGTTTCCATGGCAACAAAATGGACTTAGGTTCTGTGAGGGTAGGGTTCGTTTCCGGAGCATAACTCATAAACCGTTCAATATTTTTTCATCAAACTTTGCAGGTCTGTCAGGTACATGCTGAACTGGTGCCTTTTGTTATTTAGAAATTTTAGAAATTTGTATCTTTTACGTTTCCATGGGAACAAGATGGGCTTAGGTTCTGTGAGGGTAGGCCTAGGTTCGTTTATCGAACATAACTCATAAACCGTTCAATATTTTTTCATGAAACTTTGCGCGGAAAAACATCCGATAATTACAATGGAGTTTCTGCCGAGATCCGCATGAACTCTTAAACATGCTATGCATTCGTTTTTTTCCAGTGTAATGCTTGATTCCTACCTAACAATGATTAATGCAATCATATGACTAAAGCGTCAAGACCTACACGTGTATGAAGCAGTCTTTCCTCCCTAACCCCACTGAGAGCACTCGGTTCACCTCGTCTCGACCAGCACTATTTCTTTATGCGGCGGGATCTGGCGTTACACGGATTTAAGTGAAATCAACACTTGTGTATTATGTAGGTGGCAGAGTAAGTCGAGTAGCCCCGAGTTCAGGGCCCACTTGCACAAAGCGATCTTAGCGCTAAGATGATCGTAACTCCCATGCTTTAACATAGGCTTATGGTAGTTGTAGCGCTAAGATCGCTTTGTGCAAGTGGGCCCTGGTGTGCTGTCTATCTCTGTCATTGCGCATTACCTGACGACACTACCTCCGAGACTGGGACATTGGCTTCGTGCGCCATGAAACCAATGACTGTAAAGACAACCAGGCCTCCAAACATGCTGGTCCCCTCGCTGACAAACGTGATCAGAACCGCATCTCTGAAAAAAACCCAGCACTACAATTATTTGATAAAAAAAACGACAGTTCGTAATAATGTCGTCATTGCATTTACTTGCATTCGTGTTTGGATCCAACAAATCAATAAAATCGTCCTTTTCACTCACGAATCTGACGTTGTTTCCAGCGAGTTGAATGGAGATGACATAGCTCTGGTCATGGATAGTATTGGCTCTTGACTCTAGACAACTTCATTTATCTGCCCTTTGAACCCAGTGCAACTTCATATAACGGCCCTCTTTACTCTGGACAATCTCATACACCGTCCCTCTTTACTCTGGACGACCACGTATACCGCTCCCCTTTACTCTGGACAACCTCCAACATCGCCCTTTTTACTCTTTCGGACATTCTTAGTGTAATGTGCTTCCTAGTTGTCTGACCAATTTAATCTGTTTAACCCCATATGCATACCTGACATCGTTACTCAGTGAGGCCTCATATGCCGGAGATCCTTACTCTGTGCAACCTCATATACCGGGCATCGTTACTCAGTGAGTCCCCCATATACCGGACATTGTTACTCAGTGAAACCCCATATACCGGACATCGTTACTCAGTGAAACCCCATATACCAGACATCGTTACTCTGAACAAACCTCCAACATCAGCCCTGTTTTACTTAGTGTAACGTGCTTCCTAGTTGTCGGACCTATTTAATCTGTTTAACCCCATATACCTGACATCGTTACTCAGTGAGACCTCATACACTACGACGCAAAAGTTCGTTTTCGTGTTCTGCAGTAAAATTGCGAATACTCGGCGGATATTCCGCGGATAAGTTGCAAATAATTCGCGGATAATCCGCGGATATCCGTGCATTTCAGCGAAAACTATTTTATTGCTTTATGGCGCTAATTAGGAGTTTTATGGGACTATCACGCCGTCAACGCGTGGCGGGCCATGGCAATACTCTCCAAACATGTTCACCGGGTAACCTCCCAAAACCCCTACATCCCATTTCCCCACAGCTTAAGACAACAAAGTTCACGGTCCATGGCACTGCTAATCCCTAGTCTGTTACCTATTTCATACAATGGAACAACCCAAGAAACACGAATAGAGATAAATATTTAATTACGATTACGATATTATTCAAAATTCATAATACATTATAATAAAATGTTCATTTTTCAAAATTCATAATACATTATAATCAATTTGTATACGCATTTGCATTTGACTTCTATACTTCAATTCCCACGTTATTAACGTCAAAACCAATTATTAGATATTGATCTTTTGTGTGTAACATATGCTAAGTGTCATTAATATTGTGATGTAGCCGTAGAACATGACGTTAATTAAACGTGTGTACGTTATAACATTTCAGATCATAACCATTATCTGATATACAACAGATTGATGCCAAGGCATATTTTTAATCTTTTATGTCTTGAGCATGCAAATGTGTGTGTCTGCTTGTACTAATGTCGATTTATAGTGCTAGCTCACTGAGATACCATGCCGCACTTTAACATGAATACCCCTCTCAGACACTGTATAGAGTGACTCCGAGCCGACCAGTCCTTGGTTTAGCCCTTTCATGCCGAGCGCCAGACAGGGTATAAACGAGTACCATCTTATAACGTCTTTTGGTATGACGCGGCCGGGGATCGAACCCCGGACCTTCCGCACTCCGGGCGGACGCTCTACAACTAAGACCACGGAGGCGGTAAAGAGGCCTGTATACGGTATGCAGTCTGTTAACGAAGTTTTACAATTTCTATTTTGAAAAAGACAGTTAAATGACAGTTGTGACAGGGATGATTCTATGGTAGCTGTAGCAGACAGATTGACAGTCGTTGTCGACGAGAGTTGACTGCATCACTAGGTTATTTGAACGACAGTTGCCTTGTAGGATGCTACTATACTTTGATGATTTTCTTGACGAACGTAATTCAAATTCCTTCCACACTGACACCACATCAAAGTTATTTATGTACCGATTACATAACTTTTACTGACAGGGTGGGGAAATGGGGTGGTAGTTCACGCGAAACGGACGACACTGTCGTTTTACACACACTGTGCAGGGTATTGCAATCAGACAGACGGTCAGCAAGACATCTAATTATGCTGTATCAGTTTGTAATTAATGTGTTATGTACATCAACTGTCGTCATTAGTTTCCTAAACCTTGACTTACCCTTTTCACTATTATTTGGTCACGTGTGCCAATAAACAATATATGTTATGACTGAAGATGCCCTGTGCGTTGTGATACCAGGTCAGGGTATTACATTCAGTCGCTCATATCTCACATATTTCACATATTGTCTATTAAGCTGTATACAAGGGACAGACAATTAATCTTTGTGTTTTTTTCTATATATTTAACAGCGCATTCAAGTAATGTTTTCGTGAATCATGGGGTGGGAGTTGAAGCATTATTTTGTCACGCTGAACACTGTTTTATGTCCTGTGTGAGTACGATGTGAACCTATGCAGGTAGTTATTACACGCCTGTGAAAAATCTAAACTTTCACAATCCCCCATTTATATTAAGCCTTGGAACTTGTTTTGTGATTCAGTTATCATCACCTCCCTTATATGACCTTTAACTTCGACCCATGTTCATTGTGCTGGAGAAGTTGTACACTATCATTTGTAACCGAGTCACAGACACAGGTGACAACAAACTCCAACAACAAGTACACCGGGGTTTGCGTTTTCGTATGTAGAACTTTACATTGAAGGTATATATCATGTACATCGGTAGTGTTTGGATGCGGGGATGTTCGAAAAATAGTGATATGATATTCAGCCGATTGGTGCAAAATTGCGTGAATATTGGGACACGAATGCAACTTTTAAATGCATTGCCACTTTTGATTTGAAGGTGGGAACAGTAAATTAAAATACAGTTCAGAAAACAACAACAGCCTTCTTATGACACTTTCCATATTCTCACTAGTACGTTGTATAATGTCTAATCCGTAAGTGAGATCCTTCAGAGGAGATACTGTATAAAGGTTTTAAATTTTGTTTTCGATTTTTTAATTTGTTCACAAATACACGTACACGATGTTAGTAATCTCAATTCATTATAACCATCTCTCTGATTATCTCCCATTAGTTAGAAAGCCAGATGTTAGACAGCCAGTTGTTAGACAGCAAGATGTAAGACAGCCAGATGTTAGACAGCCAGATGTTAGACAGCCAGTTGTTAGACAGCCAGTTGTTAGACAGCCAGATGTTAGACAGCCAGATGTTAGACAGCCAGATGTTAGACAGCCAGATGTTAGACAGCCAGTTGTTAGACAGCCAGATGTTAGACAGCCAGATGTTAGACAGCCAGATGTTAGACTGCCAGATGTTAGACAGCCAGCTGTTAGACAGCCAGTTGTTAGACAGCCAGATGTTAGACAGCCAGCTGTTAGACAGCCAGTTGTTAGACAGCCAGTTGTTAGACAGCCAGTTGTTAGACAGCCAGATGTTAGACAGCCAGCTGTTAGACAGCCAGTTGTTAGACAGACAGATGTTAGACAGCCAGTTGTTAGACAGCCAGTTGTTAGACAGCCAGATGTTAGACAGCCAGTTGTTAGACAGCCAGTTGTTAGACAGCCAGATGTTAGACAGCCAGTTGTTAGACAGCCAGATGTTAGACAGCCAGTTGTTAGACAGCCAGTTGTTAGACAGCCAGATGTTAGACAGCCAGTTGTTAGACAGCCAGTTGTTAGACAGCCAGATGTTAGACAGCCAGTTGTTAGACAGCCAGTTGTTAGACAGCCAGATGTTAGACAGCCAGTTGTTAGACAGCCAGTTGTTAGACAGCCAGATGTTAGACAGCCAGATGTTAGACAGCCAGTTGTTAGACAGCCAGTTGTTAGACAGCCAGATGTTAGACACTGAAGTAGGGGATTAATTAGGGCAGTACCCACAACAATGGTACAGTCCTACTCAGTGAACAAATTAGGCATGTCTTAGGGTTCATTGTTTCATCTTTCTCTACTTATTTTCTACTTATTTATTGTTATAGTTATTTACTAGATTGCTTCTCCAGTTGCTACTCCAGTTGCATGTTGTACTCTGATTATAAGTTATTATGTTAATCCAATATGTAGTGTTTGATCTTTAAAGCTTGTGGAAAATGAAGAACTTCTCAACTAGACTACTACTCAAATTACACTTGCACTTAGCTGCTTGTTATAATAACATTCTTAATATAAAACAATTAATCTTTTACTATCAATTTGTCAGAGTCTACTCAGTTTAACCAACTGTGATATTAATATAATTACTGGCAAATCATGGAAGCCTTATCAGAATGGCTGGGTTAAGGAAAGTGGAATATATTATGTCACAGAGAGGCACACCTCAGATTCTTCAGGGTGGATATCTATGCAACCGAAATCGAGAAAGACAGACCAGCACCCACTGGAGGTGTGTTATCTGCATATGTGGATTGACTAATACCTTCAGTAAAACCATTTCTTATAATAAGGTCAGCTTACACTTGAACAACAATGTCACTCACCTAAGAGGAAGTTGTGTCTAATAACAGAGTCGGCCTAATTTACAGGTGAGTCTACAATACCTGCTCTTTTTCAGTTACAATCTACCACACCATGCCTGAAAAAACAGCCTTGCAGGTGTTGACGTGGGCAAATACCCAACCTGTATATATATTTTGGTAGATACATGTATTACATATTTTCGTTAACTGTGGGTATATTATACAAAACGATTATGAAAGAAGAATTGGTGCCTTGATATACAACAAGATCGAATCTTGTTATTTCTCCGGGATCTTGATGTGTATCATCGTTTACTGGTTCATTCTATTACAGGTATGTTAGGAGGAGCTATCAAAGGCACAGACCAGCAGACACAGACAGTGTCGTCCGTTTCGCGTGAACTACCACCCCATTTCCCCACCCTGTCAGTAAAAGTTATGTAATCGGTACACAAATAACTTTGATGTGGTGTCAGTGTGGAAGGAATTTGAATTACGTCCGTCAAGAAAATCCTTAAAGTATAGTAGCATTCTACAAGGCCACTGTCGTTCAAATAACCTAGTTATGCAGTGAACTCCGTCGACAACGACTGTCAATCTGTCTGCTACAGCTACCATAGAATCATCCCTGTCACAACTGTCTTTTTCAAAATAGAAATTGTAAAACTTCGTTAACAGACTGCATACCGTATACAGGCCTCTTTACCGCCTCCGTGGTCTTAGTGGTAGAGCGTCCGCCCGGAGTGCGGAAGGTCCGGGGTTCGATCCCCGGCCGCGTCATACCAAAAGACGTTATAAGATGGTACTCGTTTATACCCTGTCTGGCGCTCGGCATGAAAGGGCTAAACCAAGGACTGGTCGGCTCGGAGTCACTCTATACAGTGTAAACTGCGGCATGGTATCTTAGTGTGCTAGCACTATAAATCGACATTAGTACAAGCAGACATACACACGTGCATGCACGACGGTATAAAAGTGCAATAATCTTGGACGCAGATAAACCCAATTTCACCACACCTACAGCCCTTTTATTTGATGCAAACAGTAAGTAAGATAACTTGAAGATCAACTTGATGTTACATTCCTTATATCAGCTAACGGTCCTGTTTGAGTAAATATGCACAAGACATAAAAGATTAATTAAATATGTCTTGGCATCATCTGTTGTGTATTAGATAACGGTTATGATATGAAATGTTATAACGTTTGATTAGGAAGGAGAAACATTTTAAAGTTTATTTATGATTATGTATTAAACAACTTGCCTGTGCACAAGCGTTTCCGAAGGATAGGATATTGCACAGACAACACAAACTGTTTTTCATGCTTTGAGTTTGCCTCCATATACACATTACAAATTCAGATATACCACCTTAGTGAAGCATTATGAAGCTGAGAGCTGAGATACCAAGTATTATGTTCACGGAAGCAATACAATTCTCGTGTAAGCCCTTTCCATGTACATGTAACACTAAAGTATTTTGAATTGTAGTTAATATAGTAATGGATAAAACTTTGTGACTCAACGTTAGCTGGTGTGTCTCCGATAGATATTATTTTCAGTTTATTTACAGCTTTGATTAATAGTTATTCCGTACATGTAGTCACATTCTCATTGTCTGCTAATTAGAATTTTCAATTGTCATGCTACAGCACTGTTACTAAAATCTGGTTGTTTTTGTTATCGGGTATGAATATTTGATTCATAGAGTCATATATTTTACGATTCTTATCCGATCGAATAATTGGCGCCACATATTCCAGCAGAGAGTTATTTTTTTTTATATGACTAGATACATGTATTGTTAAGTGTAGTAGATACTAACATTACTGTATCTCAGATAACATTGAGGAACAAGAAGAAAACTTGTCTTTATGTTTTAATTTCATGCATCCCTGTTCACAACAAAATTGGTTGATCCGTACTGCGTCTAAATTAATCTATTATGGGTTAGCCTAGTGGTTCAAGCTTTCGTTCGTCACGCCGGAGACCCGGGTTCGATTCCCGACATGGGTACAATGTGTCCCTCGCCGTGATATTGTTGGAATATTGCTAAAAGCGGCATAAATCCACACTCACTCACACACTCACTCAGTATTATGGGTTAAATACGGTAAGACTTTGCCTGCCGCAGCCAGGTACATTGCACGTGAATGTTGTGTCACGAAGTCACGTGAGGAAGGTGACGTGTAGTGTTCACTGACTGTGTTTAACCACTCGGGGTCTTCGCATTACACAGGCGAGCATATACATGTATATACATCTTGCTAAATAATTGAACAACAGACAACTTCTCCGTCATCCCCTCTCGAAGCTTCCGAGGAAATTCAGCCTGACAGACCAAGGGATTCCGTGGAAGGTTATGAAACTTTTCAATTGTTTAAATAATATATGGACTGCAAACTAAAAACATTCAAACGTGATATAATTGAAAAGTCAGAACAAAGATCGCTTTCTGCCTAAAGAGGAGCTCGCAAAGATTCTGCGATACCGTTCATTAGATTTAAAGGAAATCACTTGCATTATAAATTCAATTGTGGTCCTTTGGAGAAAGTAGTTTCAGCCATGATTCAAACATAATAAGTTCAATGTTCAAATTCCCTTAAAAGTCTTGCTTCAGATATCCACAAGCGAATCAAACATATCAGATTAGCCGACATATCCTTGTCTGTTTGGGTCGTAGTTGCGGAACTGGAGGGAAACGACATTGCTTCTGGCTCAGACGAAGAACGTCTCCTTGAGAAGACAGAGAGTAAGGCACCCCGTAAGCATCGAGCAGCTCATTACAGGCCTCGAGACAAAGTACTTCACAATGCTCCTTCTGCTACTTTCCCTAACCCTAATAACGACATGCCTTCTCAGGCCCCTCCCTCCTTGCAAACCCAGGCCTTTCGTCCCAAATTCATACGTACTGCAACACCATCAATTTGGAAGAACTTTGATGCACCAGAATAAATTATTAAAACTATTCAGGAAGGTTACCTTATTCCCTCAGTTGATAGCCCACCTCGTGCACACAGTAAGAATAATAGCTCTGCCATAAAGAATGGAGATTTCGTTTCAGAGTCTGTTCATGAACTCTTGAAAAACGAATGTAGAGTTGAAATTAATACTACTTCTCATGTTATTAATCCTCTTTCAGTGTCGGTTCAGCATCCAGGCAAAAAGAGGTTGATTTTAGACCTGTGATTGGTGAATCAATTTGTCTGGAAAGAAAAAAATGTTTTTGAAGGCTATAAAATCGCACTAGACTTTTTACAAAACTCTGGTTATATGTTCAGGTTTGATTTAAAGTCAGGTTGCCATCATATTGACATTCACCCTACTCAACATACTTTTCTTGGTTTCGCTTGGAAACGCCAAGGCGCTGTAAAGTATTTTTGTTTCACAGTTCTTCCGATCGGTATCACGTCAGCTTCCTACATCTTCACGAAGTGTGTTCGCCCATTGGTCAAGTACCGGAGAAAGCATTCCATTAGCATCGTAGTTTACCTGGACGATGGTTTTGGTTATTCGGTGTCAAAGGCCATATGTACTTAACACTCATATATAGTTAAGAATACTTTAACCAGAGCCGGTTTCGTTTACAATGTAGAAAAGTCTGTATGGAATCCTCAAACTAGACTAGAGTGACTTGACTTTATCTGGGATCTAGATTTGGGTATCCTGTCTTTTAAATTGGAAGATGTTAGGAATAGATTCGCAGGGTTCCTTGCATGTCGTTTTACAGCACGAAGCTTGTCTAGTTTGACAGGCAAGATCATATCTCTATGTCCAGTTATGGGGGACATCTGCAGGCTATTGACTAAACAGATGCACACAGAAATTCAGAGGTCAGTATCTTGGGACAAAATGATTAGGTTAGATGTTCCTGAGTGCGTCTATGAGCTTATGTTTTGGAGGGACAATATTTCCCTTCGGAACTGTCGGACTCCATTGACTTCCGTATTTTCAGATGCCATTGATTTTGGCTGTGCTGGTTATATACAAAATACTGATTACGTTTTTCAATACGGCGGGGATTTGGACCAAGCTAAGCGCAGTTCAACATGGAGAGAGATGAAAGCTGTGGAATTAACTTTGATTGCATTTTCAAACATACTGCGCAATAAGACCGTAAACTGGTTCACAGATAGCAAGCCTTGTTGTCATGTCGCAACATGTGGTAGTTTTAAAACGCATTTACAGAAACTAGCTATGTCAATATTCGTTAAAGCTAGTATACACAATATCATATTGAAGTTCAATTGGATCCCAAGGTCAGACAATGAGAAAGCTGATGCTTTAAGCAGATTTGAAGATTCAGATGATTTGAGAGTTACAAATACAATTTTCAGGATTCTGGATGCACGATGGGGACCACATTCAGTGGACAGATTCGCAGATCACATTAATACACAGTTGGTAATATTCAATTCCAGATCTTGAGTTCCCGGTGCCGAGACAGTCGATGCGTTTTTTACACAGCAGCGGCAAAGAGACAAAAACAGGGCTTTACCACTTGTCCATCTGGTTTCAAAAACAATCAAGTTTGTTCTGAGGAACAAGGCTCCAACTATGGCTGTACCTATGTGGCCCTCTGCGTCATATTGGCCTGTCTTGTTTGATGGTGATAAACCAGATCCCTTGGTGCAGGTATGCTACAACTTTAAGGCAGTACTACTGTCGAAGGTGGAAGCAAAGCTTCTATGTTTGATTCATTTAACGGATACGTTCTGGCCATTAGAATTAATCCAATTTGTTGTTAATATTGCAGATATGTTTGGTCTAGGCATCTGGAAGGAGAAAGATTCCTTGGTTCATGAGGATTCATCAGTTTAGCAGGAAAATGCCAGAATTAGTGTCAAAATCAAAAGCACCTGCCACTGTCAATAAGTACATGAGAGCTTATATTCTATGGTAAAAATGGAGTTCACATTTTCCAAAGGTGTCTTGTTTACCAGCAAAACCTTTTTATGTTGTTTTATATCTCACGTCTCTTCTCCAAGGAGGTAAGAAATCACATTCTGTTGTTGCAGAAATCAATGGTATAAGTTGGGCAAGTCAAGTAACAGTTTTACCAGATCCATGCCAGTTTGATCTCATAAAAAATATCAGAAAAGCAGCCCAGATAAGTTATAGTCATCCCGTCTAGAAGAAAGAGCCAATTGATACGGATATGCTGAAGAAACTTGTTTGTGTGTTTGGAATCCTTTGGTTGTTCCCTGTTTGATTTAAGATTTCAGACTATGTCCATTCTCTCGCATGCAGGTTTTTTCCACAGATTTTCTGAAGTTGTACATATTAAACGTTCAGATCTATGTTTTCATGGTGGATATGTTCGAATTTTCATTGAGGTGGTAGATATGTGTTGATTTCGGTCTTCGGGTCGGAACTTTATCCAGTGAACATTTTGGGTCGATATTTGACAGCTGCAAATTTTAAGCAAGATTCTGAGGAGTATATAATACGTCAAATTAGTTGTTGCAGAAAGTTAGGAAGATATAAACTGAAGGGAGAAAAGCCTCTGTCATATACTTGTATATTTCAGGTCACTGATGAAAACGGTCTTGGTTTTGACAGATGCGTGGATTCACTTGAAATAATGTTAACGCGTTTGACGGGTGTATTTATTTGTGATTGTTAATAAACCTGCTCGCTTGTCAGCTGCGGTATTCGTAACCCTTGAGATGCGTATATTGTACATGGTAAATATTTTATGTTTGTTTGAACGAAGCTAATTAGAACATAACTAGCAAAGTCACTCATCCCTGACTATACATGGGTTGTCTAATAGCTACGGTTTACCTGGTTTACCAATAATTAGACGAAGCAGATTGATACCCGCAGAACTTATAACATCCTAAAATGTAATTAGTACACAGATAATTGTGACATATAATTTCCTGTACATTCCTGCTTAAACAAAAAGCCCACATGTATACTATAATCGGTGAAATTGTGTGTCCACTTGTACAGTCTCAGCTGACTAAAGTCACTTCTCCCACAAAGTCACCTCTGTTTCTCAAACATAATTTAATTTCCGAAGACATTTTGAATGAGAGCAATTAAGAGGAAATCACCGTTTTATTTAACAAACCTACATGTATTTTACCAAATTCAAAAACTTATACACCCGTTCTACGTTTCGTTCCAAAGGACATGGACTATTCAACTCTAAACTGCATAATTTATATTAATTATTTGGTTGGTTGGTTGGTTGTTGTTTAACGCCGCACTCCCCAATATTCCAGATTTATAACGGCGGTCTGTGAATAATCGAATCTGGATCAGACAATCCTGTGATTGATATCATGGGCATCGATCCTCGCAATGTCGAATCGATGACATGCATCAACCACGTCAACGAGCCTTACCACCCGATCCCGTTAGTCGCCTTTTACGACAAGCATCGTCGCCTGTTACGGCAAACATGGGTTGCTGAAGACATATTCTACCCCAGATCTTCACGGGTTTATATTAATTAATTATTCTCGTTCCTAATTCGAATGGGTATAAATCTGCAAGATGGCAGACATAGTCCTTCTTTGTACAATGCATTATCATTTGTTCTCGTTCAATCTGTTGTACTTAACATTTGAAATCATTGTAAGTTGTCAAGGAGTAGTGTTATATAATGGTGTGGTGTTATGAATGAAAAACAATCACCACATGGGATGTATATGTATAACTTGTCTCTCAACGTCTTTATTGCCACAATACACCACACAGTGGTACATGGAACTGGCCAGTGTGTTTACAGTACATAAGTAGGCAGCGAATATACTTCAGAAATGTGAATAAATACATTGTATTAACTAACATAGCTTTTACATTCCTACTTGAACAAAGAGCCTACGTGTACGCTGTAATCGGTGCAACTGTGTGTCCACATGTACATTCTCAGCTAGCTAACGTCACATCTCCCATTATAGTGAATGTTCCCGCGAACACTTAATAGCATGTGAGCACTTTCCACTGTATTTGCACTGCCGAATATAACCACCTTAGTTTTGTCTGGATTAACCTTTATTTTCCAGGAAATACAATATATTTCGAAAGCATCCAGACTATGCTGTACTTGTGAGGGAATCTCACCAAACAGGACAGTATTCATCTGCATATAACAACAATAACAACTTGGTGATCCCCGAAAGTGATTCTAGCGTAATACCTTTACAGTCATAGATATTCATATGAGTTTCCATGTCATTTAAATTCAAAGAGACCAGGAGAGGCGACAAATTTTCCCCTTGACTGACACCCTTACTACACGACAATTAAACAAGCCTGAAATATCATCATCATGACTCACCATATATTACTGTACATATTCTATTGTACATATACATATAAGTATAAAACGTATACCTGTAACACCATAGGATAGAAGTTTCTGCCAAAAGCCAATCCTTCAAACGTTATCAAAGGCCTTTTTAAAATCCACAAATAAACAAAATAAATTTACTTCATATACTTCGCAGGTACAACGCAGTAGGTCCGCGGATTTCACAAACGTTTTGCCCCTGCGGAAAAAGTACTTTTGCGTCGTAGAACATCGCACCTCTTTACTTTGCAAGACGTCATATACCGGACATCGGTACTCAGTGAAACCTCATTTACCGGACATCGGTACTCAGTGAGACCTCATATACCGGACATCGGTACTCAGTGAGACCTCATATACCGGACATCGGTACTCAGTGAGACCTCATATACCGGACATCGGTACACATTGAAACCTCATATACCGGACATCGGTACACAGTGAAACCTCATATACTAGACATCGGTACTCAGTGAGACCTCATATACCGGACATCGGTACTCAGTGAGACCTAATATACCGGACATCGGTACTCAGTGAGACCTCATATACCGGACATCGGTACTCAGTGAGACCTCATATACCGGACATCGTTACTCAGTGAAACCTCATATACCGGACATCGGTACACATTGAAACCTCATATACCGGACATCGGTACACAGTGAAACCTCATATACTAGACATCGTTACTCAGTGAGACCTCATATACTGGACATCGTTACTCAGTGAGACCTCATATACCGGACATCGGTACACAGTGAAACCTCATATATCACACCCCCTTTCCTCTGTGAGACCTCCAACACCGGACAGCGTTACTCGGTGAAATCCCAAATACCGGACAGCGTTACACTGTGAGACACCATATACCGAACATCGTTACTCTGTGAGACACCATATACCGAACATCGTTACTCTGTGAGAACTCATATGCCGAACACCGTTACTCTGTTAGACCTCAGACACCGGACATTTTTCTCTCGAAACCTTATATACAAAACCTTTTCAATCTGGGCAACCTCATTCCTTACTCTAGACATAACGTATACTTAACCTCTTCTCTTGATCTGACATCTCATTTCAGGTCCCTTTTGCAATGGACGTCCTAATCAACGGACCTCTTTACTTTGGGCGACCTCATTAACCGGAATTTGTATCTGTGAAACCTCCTATATCCCGTCCCGCCTCTTCAATTAATAATTCACCGTAGTATACACATTTGTATTGTATGAGATGTGTGTATTCATTAATTTTGTAGGAACTCTCACCTGAGGCAGTTGTTGTCGAATTTGTTGAAGCTTGCCATGGTGATAAGGCCGCCCCAAGCTGGTCCAAGGGAGTAGAACACCTGGAGACACGCCTCCAGCCACACCTACACCAGGGAGAACATACAGCCACATAGGCGAGCAGCGCCTTACCAATAAAGTTTTCACAATTTTGCGCGTTTGCAATATGATAAAAAATATTATCGATCAAACAGTTACAGGATTCCTGACAGTTATAATACTTACTGGATGCCAAAACAATCAGTGCAGTAAGACAGGTGATGAACATTTTATGATTGGATCACTGAAAATCAGTCACTAGGTGTTCACGAAAGAACCTGAGTCAGTGCCAGTAAGTAAGAAGGTGTCATGGAATAGCATGAAATTTGTAAATTCCTCTCCCATAATATTCTCGAATGACTTAACCAGGCCTTTGATGGCGAAAACTTGATGGAAAAGCTTGGTTGAAATTTCCATGAAATCTGAATAAAATACACATGTGCTAAAGTACCTAAATCTTTGTGATCCACTTAAATATGTAAATATGTCTAAATGAAGAATTGTATTCGGGAATAATTATATGGCTTTATGTGCAATGAAAAAAAACCCCAACACACTTTTGCTGTATATATATATCATTATTAAACCTCTACCTGCATCTCCATGAGCTTGTTAAAGTCAGGTTTGATGTACACCAGGAGGCCCTCGTCACTTCCGGGTAGCATGAGACTGCGAATCAGGAGGATGATCAGCAAGAGGTAGGGCAGGGTAGCTGTCACATAGACAACCTGTAACACACAGGAGTGAGTGAGTGAGTTGGGTTTAACGCCACTTTTAACATTATTCCAGTTGTTTCACGACGTGCCAGCTTGATATGGGTGATACAGGTCTTAGACGTTTACAACTTTGGTGAAACCCACGAGCACGGGTATGGTGCTGACAAACCTAGAAAAATAATCGGGGCGAACCGGGATTCGAACCCACAATCAAAGGTTTCTGGCGTGCCTAAGGGACACAACTCTAAACAGCGAATTGTGGTGCCTTAGACGACTGGGCCACCCGTGCCCCCGTTACACACACGATATCAATTAATTAAAAATGAACACGACGTATTTGGAGTAGAGAGTAAATGCGTGTTTCTGCTAAGCAAACATCAATGGTTTCTCAATTTAATTTCATATTTATTGTTATTTAACTATGTGTAGCACATATTTCTGGTGGCTGACTGTACAGAGGGTTTTGTTGCTTTTACTTGTATGCGGTAATGCTAGCAAACCTTTATCAATCTGGATAGTGCTCATAAGTAAAGTCAGATCTTGTTTACATGGTGAAGTTTAGTTTTTTTATTACTTTTCCAGCGGACTTGATTCCTCGGATGATGCACAGAAACACAATTATCCATCCGCTGAGGAGACATAGTGCCAGGTGAGTCTGTATCCCTCCGACATTGTCCAGACCGTCGGAGATACGCAGGACGTTGTACCTATGGAGATATACATTGTAGCAATTAGGGCACGTTGCTCGCTCACAGCGTCATACACACGTTACGTTTTCACTGTTTCACCATTTCACTGTGTGGAGTTGCTTCCCTTTGGCGTGCCAGAAACCAATAATCATGGGTTTGAATCCCGGTCCGTCTTAATAATGGTTCCATACCCATGTCCGTAATGAGCCGGGGTAGAATAGCTCATCAGCAACCCATGCTTGCCGTAAAAGGCGATTATGCTTGTCGTGAGAGGCGACTAACGGGATCGGGAGGTCAGGCTCGCTGACTTGGTTTCTACCATAAACAAGCCTAATAAAAACTCTGAGAAAAACATTCAATATAAACTAAATGTAAACACAAATGTTACTGACACAGAAGATATGTGTAATAACCCTAATACTGTCCCAAATAACCATACACACTCTGGGGTAAATATCTCAAGTCAAACAACTGTAAACACTACTGTTGTCAACCAAGTACTTGATAACGCGAACTCTTCAAATGCACTGATGAACCGCGCCCCTACTGTATGTAATCTTGGCAATTGTTCTGATGTACAGGTAATAGTTAATTCAGCAGAAAACACAAACCATGCTCACAATCTATCTGATATTCTGAAAACCTTAGATCACACACAACTTGCACGTGAGTCCAGGGAAACCTTAAAGATAAATGTACCAAGCAAACCAAATGGTACTCACAATGTGTATAATACAATGGACTCTGTTTATATTTTGAATAACCATGTGTCCTTAGATAAGGAAACCAATTTAACTGATGTAAATGTTTCCACCAAAACATATGCAAACACAGATGTACCTAATACCAATGATGTCACAGATGTCCTGAACTATCATGCCTATACCCCAGTTATTTTTAACAAAGCCCGTGAAGCAAAGATTTCATGTATATTATGGAAAAAGAAATCTGTACTTAATAATATAAACGCTGTAAACCACGGTTCTGAATTTGCTAGTAATTGTGATAATGATGCCAATGCTGTTGCACATGATGTTGTTGCACATGATGTTGTTGCACATGATGATGATGATGATGATGATGATGATGATGATGGTGGTGACTGTACTGTTCATGACCAAAATACTGGTCTTAATTTCTTAAGTCTAAATGTATGTGGCCTCAGACATCGCCTAGAATATAAGGATTTTTTTTACCTAATAGCTAAAAGAGACATAATTGGATTTCAAGAAACGAAAACAAACAGTTTGGATGAGTTAGATAGGTTGGGTACTGTAAGGCGATCAGGAGGTATAGGTGTAGCATATAAAAGTAAATATAGAGATTATATATCCGTAACTGAAGAAAAATGCGATTACATTCTTTAGACTAAAGTATGTAAAAAACTATTGAGTTTTGATCAGGATCTGTACTTGGGGACTGTTTATATTCCACCCGAAGGATCAAAGTATATTACAAACGATACGTTTTATGAAATTGAGGAATCAATAATTAATATTATGTCAAAAAGTGAGTATATCATTTTAATTGGGGATTTTAATGCCCGGACAAATAATCTATGCGAGTACGAAATTCTTGATGAATACATAATCGAAGAATTTAATCTGGATATTGATGAAATTAGATCAGAACTTAACCCTGAATCTGTGCTCGATGAACTTGGGTTGCCACGCGTGAGAGCAACACAGGACAAAACAAGAATAAATAATTTTGGCTTTAAACTTATTGAAATCTGTAAAAATTTAAATCTGTTTATTGGTAATGGCAGGCTAGGAAATGATAAACTGATAGGTAAAACAACATGTAAAGATAAAAGTGTTATCGACTATGTTATCGTATCGCAAATGTGCCTTACGCTCTTTTCTGATTTTAATATAATTGACTACTCACCCCTCTACTCAGACGTGCACTGCCCTCTCACCTTTACACTTAGCGCAGTCACACCTCCTGTCAGTAATCCATGTAAAGGCCTATACCATGCATCTATATAAATGCCGCTAACAAACATAAACATTACAAGCTTGATAAATCAGATGTATACATAAAGAATATAAATGTTAAACAGATAAATAAACTGGTGAAGACTGTGCACGAAGCACGGACAGGTCACGGCGACCCGCCGAGTGTAAACAGACTCGCGAATGAAATCGCGCACGTACTTGTTAACGCTGCACGAGCAACATTCGGAGTCAGAGAAAACAATGTTAAATACAGACAACGCGAAAAAGATAAACCTTGGTTCGGAATAGAATGCAGACGATCCCGAAAGAAATTTAATAAAGCAAAACGTCGACTTAAAAAATCGAAAACAGTATTTAATAAACTGGCATATCACCAAGAAGCAAAGGCTTACAAGAAATGTATGGATAGGAATATAAGTAAATATAAAGACAAATTAAATAAGACCTTTCGCCAAAATCTTCACCATTCGCCTAAAGAATGTTGGCAGATCCTAACAGGATGTAAGAAAGACACAAATCCGAATGCTCCTGATATTAATTCCTTCTATAATTTTTATAAAAACTTAAATGAAAACAAAATTGATGACTCTGAATTAGAAAGATGTGCAACTGCAACACTGGTGTATGATTGTAAAACCTTAAACGATGATATAACGACTGAAGAAATTATAAAGGCTGCAAAGAAACTTAAAAGAAATAAGGCTTCTGGGCTAGATTTTGTCGAGAATGATCATATAATAGATAGCATTGGAGTACTTGCCCCACTATATTCGGAATTCTTCAATCTTGTACTCTCATGCGGTGTAATCCCTGAAACGTGGCTCTCGGGAATTATAAAACCTATCTACAAAAATAAAGGCGACCCATCTGATCCAAACTCGTATAGACCCATTACGATATTAAGCTGTTTCGGAAAACTTTTCACCAGTATCCTAAACGAACGACTGACAAAATTTCTAGATGTCAATAATATCCTAACTCCGGCACAGTCGGGATTTAGGAAACAATTTCAAACTGCTGATAATATATTCTTTATCCATTCGTTGATGCATATTTTGAAACTGTCAAAAAAAAACTTTATTGTGCGTGCATAGATTTTACAAAAGCATTTGATACTGTCTGGAGAGTAGGATTGTGGTCTAAAATGCAAAACAGTGGATTCGAGGGCCGATTCCTAACTTTAGTTAAAAATATGTACAGTAATATTAAATCAATGGTACAATCAAATAATGCAGAATCAGAGTACTTCCCTTGTCAATCAGGTGTTAGACAGGGCGAAAATCTATCACCACTACTGTTTTCAATATTTTTAAATGATCTTGAATCGTATCTTACAAAACAAGGATGCCAAGGGATCTCATTTGATTGTATATCGGGAAATGACATCACAGTTTGGTTACATATTTTAGTATTACTCTACGCAGACGATACAGTCATATTTAGCGATACCCAATCTGGATTGCAAAAATCGTTAGATTCCTTTAACCAATATTGCTTACAATGGAAGCTAAACGTAAATATTTCAAAAACAAAAATAATAATCTTTGGAGGGGGTCCAGCCAAATCAACCAAATCAATATTTTATTTTGGGGGAAAGATACTGGAGATTGTTGATAATTATACATATTTATGTATAAATCTTCACAGAAATAGACAACTTGTGTTTTGTATGAAATCACTAAGAGCAAACGCGACAAAAGCAATGTACTGCCTAATAAAAAGAGCACGAAATGTTAACCTACCATTAGATTGTTTATTGAAGGCGTTTGACGTGATGGTAGTGCCAATCCTTTTGTACTGCTCCGAAATATGGGGTTTTGAAAATTTAGAAATGATAGAGAAAATGCAATTGAAATTTTTAAAAATAGTAACTGGTCTGAGGAATTCAACACCTAATTTTATGGTTTATGGGAAACTTGGCAGGGAACCACTCAAAATTAAAGTATTTAAACGGATGATTTCCTTCTGGCATAAACTAACGAATTAAAACGGACCCACAAAGTTATCTAATATTTTATATAACTATTTGATAAAAGACTATGATGCAAACGCAAAATCGTTTAAGTGGATAGCTACAGTAAAAAAAATACTAAATGATGTCGGACTGTCAGAAATATTCATAAACCCGTCTATTTGCTCTACTTCATGGCTGGTTTCAAAGGTCGAGAGAACTCTTAAAGACCAATTTATTCAACAGTGGCGAGAATCTATTTTATCAAGTTCAAAAGGTTTATACTACCAACATTTAAAAGAATTACCAAAATTCGAAAAATTTCTATTACTTCCCAAAACTATCTACTTGCCAATTTTACAATTTCGCACATCTAATCATCATTTGCCCATTGAAACCGGCCGATGGAGAGGGTTACTGAGAGAAGACCGTGTCTGTACACTATGCAATTCATCTGCTGTTGGAGACGAATTTCACTATCTTTTTAGGTGTGAAGCACTTCTCCAACAACGACTTCTCTACATCCCACAGAATTGTTATATCTGGCCAAATATGTGTAAATTGCGTAAAACGTTATCACCTAAAAATATATCCACTTTGAAACATCTGTCCAGATTCATCATAAATTTGAACTCATTATTGCGTTAAGGTGTCTAATTTTATTTCTTTTGATGATGATGATGATGATGATTATTATTTTTATTACTTTATTTGCTTAATTTCTATTTATTTTAGGCTTGTTACCATCTTGATCTGCATTGTATATTATATGTTGTATATATATATATATATATATATATATATATATATATATATATACTCTTGTACCACCGTTGGTGGTTTTTCAGAGAAATAAACTGAACTGAACTGAACTGTTGATGCATGTCATCGATCCCAATTGCGTGGATCGATGCTCATGATATCAATCACTGGATTGTCTGGTCCAGACTCGATTATTTACAGACCGCCGTCATATAGCTGGAATATATTGCTGAGTGTGGCGTTAAAAAACCAACCAACCATACCCATGTCACCAACGTGGTAAACGTCTAATGTTATGCCTCAGGATTTCCTAACACACAAAGCTGACACGTCGTGATACAGATGCATACTGTTCAAAGTGGCTATAGCTATACACTTAACTCATTCACTCATTCACTAAGGATACCAAAGCCACAGACATGTTCACTCGTCTATCACCTATGACACGTGACAGGGTACTTGAAACAGAATAGAAAAAAAGTAATAACATATTAATTTGTCGGAATTTTGTTTGGTAGGGATTTTGCGAACTATTGGAAATATCAGTGAATATCCCTCGCAAATAATAGAGACTTAACACTAAGTATCCCTACAAGGGAATTAGTACTACTTCGATCTAATATAATCCTTAGCCATGCTTATTCATATCAATACAATCTGGCAGACAAAAGGAATCAATTGCTCGGCACTAAAAGTAAAACAACTTCTTTATTCATATGGTTTTGGCCATGTTTGGGATAGTCAAGGAGTAAATCATATTGGTTTTATTGATAGTCAAGGAGTAAATCATATTGGTTTTATTGATAGTCAAGGAGTAAATCATATTGGTTTTATTGATAGTCAAGGAGTAAATCATATTGGTTTTATTGATAACTTTAAAACAAGATGTATTGATATAGGTAACCAACAGTGGTCTAGCAGTTTAAGAACTTACTCGAAACTTTCTTTTTACTCTTGTATTAAGCAATATGATGTATTTAAAAATATCTAGATTGTATTTCAGTAAGTGCATATCGTATTGCTTTGAGTAAATTTAGATGTTCTCGTCATACTTTGCTAATTGAAAATTGAAGGAAGTACAATATACCTAGAGCTAAGAAACTATGTCCATTTTGTGTAAGACCTGAAGTGGAATCTGAATATCATTTTTGTTTACAATGTCCATACTATGACAGTTTGAGACGTAAGGTTCTACCTTATTATTTTTACACAAATGATACTTTTGATAAATTTATAACACTCTGTACATCTTAAACCCCATGCATAGTTAATGCTGTAGTTAAATTTGTATTTCCTGCTTTTAAAAAGCGTAATAACTTTCTCATTGGCGCTGAAATTGTCTAACCCTGATATCATATATTGTACATGTATAATGGGCCGGTGGCCCCTTTACTGAAACAAAGCTCACTGTCACTTCTTCGATCTAGACGGGCCGTGGGGCCAGGGAGAAGAGCACCCCTACCCCCCCCCCCCCCCCCCCCCCCCCCCTCCGGACCCCCCCCCCCCCCCACACAAATACACTTACTGCCAGAACTCCTCCGCTGCAGTGTGTGAGAGACTGGCATTAGTCACACCTGAGATGTGACGTATTTGTCCACCATCGGTGACGTTGCTCTCGTTGGTTGGTGAATGATATAACGTCTGTGCCGAGGTGACGACACAGGATGGTGTGTTCCACCAGTTCCCACACGACGTCCACGGCAGCAATTGGGAACAAGACTGTACGAGGAAGTACACCGACCACGACAACACTATAGGGTAGTACATCAGCGTCAGCGCCGATAGCATCGTCATGCTGATTCCCAAGCCTATAGTTATAGAAGGTTAAAAAGCATCGCTGTCAGCATTGGTTATTGTACGATACAAATATGGATAAACACAAACGAAAATATATAATGTCCTATATAAGACCCTACACTGACGGAATCACACCATTTTGACATGCATATCGCAAATTGATAATACCATCACAGTGTTTCCGCATCAGCGACCCGTGTGATTAACAGATTTCGGTAAAATCCGAGGTAAAAGTATATTTTCCATTAGTTATAACACAGACTTTTAGTTATGATCGGTTAATACAGTTTAACCCTTTTTACAGTTTGCTTTTCATCTAATAAATATAATTGTTTGATGTGTCCTCTTTTTTCTTGTCTCAACCTGACATCTGTACATAGTACATTATTAATAACAAACGACATAATTGCAGCAAATAATTTGTTTTTTCTTGGAATGAATTTGTTTTAATGTCATAATAAAAAGGATTTCATTATTTATTAATTGTCAAGTGCAGTCAGATTAGGAATTGTACAGATCGACAGGTATTTAACGATCAAATACCAGTTTGAACCTGCAAATAAGGTAGGGAGAGTCATTGAAGTAATGTGGAGTAATTGTCACCTAATTGTTTCTAAAAATATCTTTAATTTGAAAAGGAACACAGGCATAACTACTCGGTATGATGTTTGTGTCTTTTGTATTTGTTTCATAAATATAAGTGAATTAGAACCACAAGCGCAAATGTGCACAGAAGCAAAACTACAAGTAAAGACACATAATCTAGGGTCTTGGCTGTCAATACATCAATTGTATTACCAATGTTTTTGAACATATAGATCAACATGTATAATACATAAAATTTTATTACTAATTGGTCATGGATTTACTATTGTATATAGATCACATTTTGGACAGATCAACATAAATATAAATGACATATATTTTGACAAGATAGACACAATTTTATGGATAACAACTTCTTTAATACTGTAAAAAGCGACGTTTCGGTATAGATCCTTATACCGTTGTCAAGCAAGACTGAATGAGGGACAAAGTGCAGAATATATATAGCAAGTGGAGGATTAACAGTAGAGGATTAACACTAACAACAAGGGCATACATGAGTGGGATAACATAGGTAGGTGTGACAACAAGGATGATGCTATCACAACACGATGGACAGAAAACACATAGCTAGAAGCCAATGGGGCATGAAGCCCTCACCACCGCCTGTATCTCCACCACATACTTCACCTGGGGCGACGAGTATTATCAACAGATACACGGCCTACCCATGGGATCCCCACTGTCTCCTATCCTTACTGAAATCTACATGACCCACTTCGAACAGCAAGCCCTCACAACATCACCCATCCAACCTATTTGCTGGTACAGGAAAGTTGTTATCCATAAAATTGTGTCTATCTTGTCATCCGCCAACTTCTAAGTAATGCCTATCAAACAAGACATATATTTTGGTTTTAATTCATGTTTTACAACATTTAGACATATATTTGGTCTTTTTTATGTGTAAGTCCTTACAACATCCACATCATGATAATGTCATGATTATACCCATTAAAAACTAAATTTTCATCACTGTGTACATTCTTAACGTAATCGACATTGACTTGTGAGTTTGCCATGATTGCATATGACTCCAAAATGTAACTGTGGCTTGTTTATATCAGACATAGAGCCTAATGGATGACCTCAGTGAACAGAGTTATAACTGATAATTGATGAAGAAAACCAGCTGGGATAAAGTATTTGCTCGTGTAGAAATATTAATAAAACGATTTAAATCTACCATTTTGACACTTGTAAGTCACATAACTATCACATGTAAATAACAAACCATTTAAAAAAGTGTCCCAAAATAACAATAATTGAGTTGCAAAGGTTATCCTCATTCTTAAAGTATGCATACCTCGTGGGCTAAAATGTCAGTTACCATGCCCATATGACCTTGGTGGGTTTAGATATACAATGCTGTATTAAGGTTGAGAATATATGGATGTCAACCTCTTAATTATGAGGAACACAACGTTTCGGAGTATATGCTTACTCCTTCATCACCTGAAGAAGTTGACATCCATATATTGTCATCCTTATGTGTATCACTTCTAAATGCATTTCAAAACCTGAGAACTGGTTTTGTAAGACTTCACATTTATGTGCTTTACCCACCTTTCATCAAAGGACAGAAGCCCCAGATGTGCATCGCGCTCTTCCCGGCAAACTGTCCCAACGCCACCTCGAGAAAGAACAGGGGGAGACCACACAGCACCAGGCACACGAGGAAGGGGATGAGAAAGGCACCTGCGGAATGAGGGGGGTTGTTGAGTGAGTGAACGTTTAACGCCGAGGATAACAATATTCCTTCTATCTCACATCAGCGTGTTAAAATATTAATTATTATCATGTTAAGACAATTTTTCTCCTTAACCACTGTTGGTGGTTCTTTTTGAGAAATAAATGATGATTGATTGCTTGGTGTAAAACGGGTAGGACAAGTGCAACCCGGACAATTGTCACTCAGGAAATTCCCACTGGTCAATTACCATCCGGACAATTGCTACCTAGGACAATTGCCATCTGGGACAACTGCCAACCTGTGAATTTACTACAATAGGACTTTTCCGACCCAATATATATTTTTTATTAAATGAAAGGTGTCTTACTATTGTTCACAGTGAGATAAACAAACACATGTTCTTGAAAGTAAGATGTAAACAGTCTTCATGTTTTCTTGTAAAACCTTTGTGTTCTGAGAGGAGAGGGTGAGTAATGGGAGCAGAGCTGCTTGTACTTAAATAACATTGGTTAGGAACCAACTATTGTTTGATAACTCCAAGATGGCATATATGTTGTGATAGTGTTCTGTTAGAGAGGATTTATACATATATCGGAAACTGTTTGATCCTGTGATGGTAGATTGAAGCAGACTAGAGGAGGAGAATTATACAGTTAATCTCAATTACGAAAACTATATTTATATAAGCTGTGTAGGCATGATCGACCCTACTCACACCCATAAGTTCCAAAGAGGGACAGGCCAGCCGACATTGCTGAGGCAGAAGGGGACCTCTTAAACTCCAAAAGCAACAGCAACATGATGGGCATGCATTGTTCACAGGCATGGATAACCAAGTAGACTTTGTAAAGTCAGAAAGGTGTGTAATGAAAGTACATCTTCACCACAAGGTACTTGACAACCAGTGTGTTGGACCTCTTCACGAGCACACCCAAGCATTTGGCGTTTATTGCATGTCCCAAGGAGGGAACAAGTTCTGAATGATCAGGTGATCACCCAAATGGTGGCAGGGCAAAATGTGGCCAACCATCGCAAACAATATAAGGATTGCCAACATTTTGTCCTTCGCACCATTCATTTGTATCAGACTTTATTAACAGACACGGCATGAACTATCTGAGCCACGTGGCTCACAATTACAGATTGTGAATTGTTTCTTCTGCTGTACTGACAGTTAACAGTTGAAGTTTTACTTAACTTTTAAACAGTGACTTTTTTTTATCCACCATTCTCCACGTTGTAAAGTTGTTGTATAATTAACCGAATATAGAATTCATAACATGTTAATGAAATATTCTTTTATGAGTGGCAATTGTCTCGGGCGGCAGTTCTACTGACGGCAACTGTCCGGCTCCCGTTATCAATACTGGACCAGACCCGTGAAGATTCCGGGGTAGAAAAGGTCTTCAGCAACCCATGCTTGCCGTAAAAGGTGACTATGCTTGTCGTAAAAGGCGACTAGTGGGATCGGGTGGTCAGGCTCGCTGACTTGGTTTGATGCATGTCATCGATCCCAATTGCGTGGATCGATGCTCATGATATCAATCACTGGATTGTCTGGTCCAGACTCGATTATTTACAGACCGCCGTCATATAGCTGGAATATTGCTGAGTGCGGCGTAAAACAACAAACCAAACCAATACTGGACCAGGCAAACCAGTGATTGACTGCACGACCAACGACCCTACGCCGTCGGGGTACCAGACACACAATGAGCAGGGTGACATGTTGCAGCAACCATATGTGTATGAGTCAACTCTAACCACAAGCTTATTGGGTTGAAGGAACCTATTCTGTACCGGAATCCCGTCATGGTGTGAAAATACGCGAATTTCAGTATGGCAGATTTTTCAACAAGTACTCCTTTGTCCTCTTCAATCATTTATGGCAAGTTAATATTGATACGCCCCGCGGTTTTGGAGAAGAAGAGCGTTCTCTCAGCGTGAACTGACAGAATGGCGAAAGGACGAATAGTTCAGATGAATGCAGTGACATAAATCATGATTGACTGTCAAGATAAACCTAAAAGTAAATGTAGACATACATTACGTAAACCTAGGGTTAGCCCTATAGAATTTAATGAATAATACATTTCACATTTTTGTATATTATCTTAAATGTAAAACCAGCGAGGCTTTTGTTCTTTTCAGTACCAGCCATGTATACAAAATGAGTTACTGTTTCAACCATCCGACAATGACAAAATATATACCAATGCCGATTCTCAAGCATTATCCCCGTGTATCTCGTATGTTATTATAAATAGCACCCGTAGTTTTTATTTGTCTAAGGAAATGTGGACACTTGTGTTTTTTTCCTGAACACAAAAGAAAACATCAGGTCAGTCTAAAAAAATATTAGAATATAAAACGACATCGTTTTGGCAGCGTATTTGACAACCCTCGTTTAGTATTCTATTTTATAGACCTTATTTTATATACCTTATTCATTTAGTACCAATAATTAAAGATGCCCTAATTTACATAATAATTACATATTATTTCTGAAACTTATGTTTTCCTTGATATAAACCCATTCAACACCCAAAGTTTAGGACGATCATATTAACCGAAGCGATTAAAGATACCCTCATTTACATAATAATCACATATTTCTAATCAACATAATAATTATATATTCTTTTTCTAACTTCTCGTACATGACAAAGTTCAAGACGATCATATCAAGGGAAGTAATTAGCGATACCCTCATTTTAATAATATACTCGGCAACACAAGTTCTTGTGACACGATACAAATCCAAGAACCTTATCAAAGTAGATTTACTCATCTGAAAGAATTCATATTTTCAAACAGACAATGGACCAGTAGAACAAGTGCACCAATTTAACTACACACGTCTAGCAAAGACATGAAATAACTCCTGTCATTTCACACGTTAGTGGCGTGTGTCCCCCTCTCGCTTGGATGCATGCAATGCATCTCCTTCGCATTAAACGGATCAAACGTTTAACACTTTATTGTGGGATGGCATCCTATATCTCCACCAGTCTGTGTCTCAGTTGGTGTACTGTAGTCGGCAAGATAGACACAATTTTATGGATAACAACTTCTTTAATACTGTAAAAAGCGACGTTTCGGTATAGATCCTTATACCGTTGTCAAGCAAGACAACGGCATAAGGATCTATACCGAAACGTCGCTTTTTACAGTATTAAAGAAGTTGTTATCCATAAAATTGTGACTATCTTGTCATCCGCCAACTTCTAAGTAATGCCTATCAAACAAGTTACTGTAGTCGGAGTACGTTTTAAATGTCGGAGACGGCGGTCCATTTCAGAGTGAGCAGGCCATGGGATCACATTCACGTTGTTCTGTCCAAGTGCTTGTTGAACAATCCGGGTCACAGGGGGTCGGGCGTTGTCAAGCTAAAAATCATGCCAGGTCCATGTTGATTCAAAAAAGGCAAACGATAGGCTGGATGCCCTCGTCACGGTAACGCTGCCCGTTCAAATTTCCCATTCGTGACCCACTCGTGTTATTCCGGGACAAGCCGAATAGCGACTCGTCCCCCTCTCGTGGCCGTTTTTGCGACCGGGTTCCGTCTTAGCGCAAACGGGCATACCTAAATTAATTGTCAACCCGTTGCGTAATGGTTCACATATATTTCCCTATATATCATATATATTTCAGATGCAATTTAAAGCACATCGGGACGTGCGGAATTATAATGTATGATTGAACACATTTAACTGTGTCTTGGGTATAATTTTAGATGCAAGACATATGTAAAATCAAACAATTATTTCTCTGGGATTATTTGACAAAGAACTCGAAATCATACGCGCATTCTGATTGGTTTGTCGTATTTTCGCACATAACATTCATCGATAGGGGGACAAGTCTTCTTGCAGGTCACGGAAAGGGGCGAGTGGTGACGAATACAAATTTCCTAGATCTCTTGCAAACGAATTCTCTGTCTCTCGGTTATTCCTCCCCACACCATAACACTGCCTCCTCCGAAACGGCCATCCTCCACAACACAGTTCTGAGTGTTACGTTCACCAGTACGTCGGTATACTCGTATTCGGCCATCGCCATTGGGAGAGGTGACAACGAGACTCGTCGGTGAACAGAACCTGTCTCCACTGAATTGCCATTCAACGCAAGCGCTGCCTACACCATTGCAGATGCAATCGGCGGTGATTGTTGGTCAAAATTGGGCGTCTGGCTGGTCTCCTCGCAACAATCCCGTAACGTCTAAGACGGTGACGTACAGTCTGTGCCGATATTCGACAAAGGCCAGGGATCGATGGTTCTCGCAATGATTGTTGTAGGTTGGAATCGATTTCAGATGGGTGGTTCGAATCCAACGATCTTGGTGGACGCTCGTAACTGGGGGCCTGCCTCTCCCTGGTCGGTCGGTCTCTGACATTCGAGGATTCGAGCTCACGATCGTGGGTTTCTAGATTGCCCAAGGGACGCAACCCTGGACAGCGAATTGCGGCACCTAAGACGACTGGGCCACCCGTGTCCCCAAAAGTTTCAGCCATATTTTCATTACTAAAGTAACTGTATTAACTGCATAGGAAGTATATATCACATTGCGTCACATTTTTTGCAGCGATGATTGTTTACATATGCACACATACATAGGAAAACAACTAACTAAACTATTTTGTGTACACTAGACAACAGAATTTTTAGCAAGTTGAAATCACATCAATGTCTCGCGTTACAAAACGTAGTTCTTGTTTCGATGACCTTATATGCATATTTATCTGATTGGTTTGTAGCATAGATAACACTCACATATTTCAATGTATCTCTTATGAATCGATAAACGAGACATTAAGCATTAAATAATAAGCTAGGTATGTGATGTAGTTATTCCTTGCTTCTGGCGACTAACGTAATCACGTAGTCATGCTCGCCGGATTCGGCAATATTCCAGCTATATGGCGGCGGTCACTAAATATATGTGTCGGGGACCAGACAATCCAGTGATTGACATCATGAGCACCGATCTACGCAAATGGGATAC